GCAGATGTGGCGGGCAGGTGGGCGGGCGAGATGGGGTACAGAGCTGGCAGCTTGCAGCAGAGCCAGCAGCTTGGCAGCTGGGGTCCTGTGGGACAAGCTGGGCTAACATCCCTCTTCCCTCCTCTTTGCCCACTCACAGTGCCCTGCATGCAGAATTGATTTGTCAAGGAAGACTTGGAGACAGGGTCACTGGAGTGAAGACGAGAGGTGCAGGGGAAAGGGACTCAGCCTGGCTGAAAACAGAGCAGAACCAGCTGGGAGAACACAGGTCCTGCCCCATCCCTGTGTGTGCACCCCATTCTGCACATGGTGAGGTTGAGAACTGTTCTACCACCGGGTCTCCCAAGTGGGTGCAGGGATCCAAGCTCTTGGACCATTTTCCACCGTTTTCCCAGATGCATCAGCAGGGAACTGGATCAGAAGCAAGGCAACCTGTACTAGAACCAGCATTCCAGGGTGGGATGCTGGCGTGGCATGCACTGGCTTAGCCTGTATGGGTTGGGCTGCGAGTGTACTCACGAGGTCCCAGCTGTTCTGCTCGTTTGCTCAGATGTCAGATGATCAGAGAGGCTCCCTGCACCTTGCTGCTCCCGTGTCCAGAGGGAAACTGCTGCAGGACTCAGGGCCTAGAGCCTGGCAGGGGATCTCCAGACACCCCAAGAGCAGCAGCTGGGGGCAGGGCCCAAGTCTCCCAGCTGGTAGGTAACTGTGCCCCGGCCTTGGCCTGGTAGGTGTGTTCATCTGTGAGTTGTTGAGAGCAGTGTCCGTGAGCATGCTCCCCAGGTGGTTGGGGGTGTGTTAGTGATGGTGTGTGTGTGTGTGTGTGTGTGTGTGTGTGTGTGTGTGTGTGTGTGTGTGTGTGTGTGTGTGTGTGTGTGTGTGTGTAGAGGCGAGCATAAGTATCCTCAGGTGGGCCTGGGTTCAAACTGTGGCCCACACTTCACTTGTGTGATCAATAGAGACGGTATCTCGCATCTGGTCCCTTATCTCTGAGATGGGCATGTTGTGGAGATAAAATAAGACAATATGTATAAAATGTATAGAACCCTGGTGCAGGGTTTCCAAGACACCTGTATCAGCTATGGGTCTTCTAAATATTCTAGAAACTTCTCTTCTCTTGGTCTATCCATTCGGCCTGTTGTGGTTCTGCCTTGGATGTCCCTCTGCTCCAGGCTGGCACTGGCAAGGCTTGCGGGTCTGGGAAAGAGTGTACCCCCAACCCCCACCCTGGACCACAGGGGACAGAATGGGGACAAAGCCAAGCAGCAGGCCAGAGGACATCCTCTTGTGGCCCATGGGATGGCAGGCTGGGCCTCAGTGTCCTTCTGTGTGGGGACAGCAACACCCACCTCGTGGAGTGGCTTAACAAGAGCAGGGCCTGAGGAGGGTGCTTGTCCTGGGCTGGCCCTGGGAGAGGGGGTGGGGAACAAGGAAGGAAGGCGAAGGATGCCAGATAGCGCCAGCAATAAAGGGTTTATCTCTCTGGTCTCTGCCTGCCTCCCACCCAGACTTCATTTCCTGCTGTCGCTCAGGGTCCTTGGCAGGCTGGGCTGGAGTGCAGCTCCTTGTCTGACGATGGGCTCAGCCTGGAATCAGAGAAGACGGCCCCTCCTCCAGGCCCCCTTTGGCTCTCAAGTTTCCCAGTGGCCACCAGGGAGGAGGCTGCCCCTGCTGCAGTGCCCAGGGAACCCTGTGAAGGGACACAGAGGCCTGTGCCAGGCTGAGCATGTACTGGACCTGGAAGTCTCCATTTGCAAAGTCCTTCCTGGGAGTCGTCACAGGAGGGAAGCAGGCTGGGATGGCAGCCTGGGTGCCCCTGGCCCTTGCTGAGCCCACTTGAATTCTGCTTCCTGTCCATAGCACGGCCTCAGGCTGAGGCTCTTAGGTGGATGGATGCTTTCTGATCCCTTAATGCGTGGTCTTCCCAAGCCTCGGGGACTTGGAGCTTTACATGTCCCCATTCTACAGCTGAGGAAGGTTCTATCTGGAGGAGTTTGTACGCATGCCTCAAGTCACATAACAAGTGCCACAAAACCCTGGGGGGACCCAGAGACATCAGGGCCCCTGCTGACCAGCTCCCACAGGCTGCCCAGTCCTCTCACGTGCCTGCAGCTGAGCTCAGAACGTAGAGCCATCAGATGTTATGTCTGGGAGCTTCTGGCAGGCCTGGCTTCCAGCCACCTCGCTCAGCCAGCAATCTGTCCCCCTTTACCCCCACTGCCCTGGGGGTGGCTGGCTGGGCCAGAGGGTTCCTCTTAGAGAAAGACTGCAGCTGCTGTGCCTGTTCTCTGCTCCCAGAAGGGACATTGGCTGCTCTCTGCCTGCCTGGCCACTTACCCCGGCACAACTCCCTCCTTGCAGCAGTGTGCTAGTTTGTCAGTGGTCCTTGCAAGGCCTACCTGCCCCCTTGCCCTACAGCCGTCCTTGACTCCCGTTGCCTGTCGGATGGATGGAAGCCAAACTCCTTAATTCGGCGCTTCTCAAACTTGACATACATCACCTGGGGACTCTGGTCCTGTAGGTGTGGGCGGGGCCTGGGAGATAGCACGTGCAGCAGGCTCCTAGAATACCATTGCTAGCTTTGGTGATGTCTTCCTTATCTCTCTCTTGAATATGTTATTTATTTGAAAGGAAGAGAAAGAGAGAGAGATCTTTCATTTGCTTGTTCATCCCCAAATGGTTGTCTTAGCCAGGGCTGGGCTAGGCTGAAGCCAGGAGCTTCTTTGAGGTCTCCCACGTAGGTGCTGGGGGCGCAACTTGGGCCATCCTCTGCTGCTTTTCCTGACTGTTAGTAGGAGCTGGATTGGAAGTGGAGCAGCCGAGTCTCAAACCAGGGGACATAAGAGATGCCAGTGCCGTAGGTGGAAGCTTAGCCTGTTAAGCCATGGTGTCTCCGCTCGTTACTCCTTCTCAGGTGGGTGTTCCTCCTGGGCCTGCACACCTGTGGTGGCTTTTCCCTTTGATTCATTCCTTCCCCTGTGTGGAAGTCGGGCTTAGAAGCCCTTCCCAGATGGAGTCAGGTGTTCATCACCTGTGCTCCCATGCACCTTTGCGAGAGGTCTGAGGCTGGTCCTAGAACAGCGAGGCTGGCTCCTGCCTCCGCCCTCGCCCCCTGGGATCCTGGCCCCATTCTTGCTGGTTGGTGACCTTGAACAAGGTAACCTCTGCATGCTTGCTTATTGAACTGTACTTTTCTCTGCCGTGGAAAGAGAGTGGCTTTTCAGCGTATTTGTACCCTTGGAAAATGTGTGGGGACAGAGCCAGGGAGGGGGTAGGGGCGGCAGAGAAGACAGTAGGGGGAGAATGGTGTACCCTTCCCAGTGCATGGAACTGGATGGGGAGAGGAGAGGAGGAAGGGCAGAGCGACCTTTTCAGGGGCTGCTCCCCCACCAAAGTAAATTCCAAGGCAGGGTTGGGGAGCGCAAAAGACAGGACTGAGGAAGCTGAGTTTCCAGAATTAATCGCTCATTGAAATGCAGCTGGATGGAGAGCAAATGTTTTCTTAAGCCAAGAGGTAGATAACTCCAGAGCTCCAGAGGCCCGGGTCCTACATGCACTTCCCCTTAAGGGCTACAGCTGGGGAGGAGGAGGCGGGGCGCCAGCCCCTGAGGTGTGGGTGAGGGTGAGACCGTGCCAGGGTAGCCCTCTATGCCCTGGGGGATTCCTGACAGGGCCCCTTCTGACCATCGCCAGGGCACACGGAGGGTCTCCTAGCCCAGTGCCCACTGGATGCACGTCCTCCCTCTCCCACACCCTCCTATGGCTGGGATCTGGGCATTGACCTTTGCCTGCTCCTCCAGGGACCTTTGCCTGGTACCAGGCACCCAGCCCCTGGGACATATCTGAGGTCACCCAGAGAGGAAGGCCGATTGGGAAAGGGCCACAGAGCAGGGACTTGGGCCTGTGCTTGGCGGGCAGGGGGAGGTTTAGAGCCTAGGTTGTCCTAGGCTAGCACTGGGCTGGTTTGAGCCAATGTGGGAAGGCCTGGGAACTGTGAGATAAAACCCTGGGTGGTGGCTATGGGGGCGCCTGGAGAAACCCCTGGGATTTCTCCCTCTGCGCTCCCTCTGGTGGTGGGTCATGAAACAAGACTTCACAGTGCTTGGTCCAGGGCCACGAACTCCAGGGCTGGCGCCTCATTTGTTGGTGCCTCTGCTTCCCCCTGCTGGAACCCTGTGTGTGTGTGCAGGTCGTTGGACCCTCTGTCCAGGATTGGGGGCTGTCACTGTCACCACACTCCAGGGGTGCTGATGGAGAGGGCAAGATCAGCAAGTGCTGATGGGGAAGTGGAGGAGGGGCCTGGTGGTCCTCAGGATGGGCCTGTTAGCACTGTGCTGGTGGGCCACAGTCCTCAGGGTACAGGACTGATAAACAGCTGGGGCGAGCAGGGGGCAGCCGCCCTCTGCGGTCTGAGCCTAGGATCAGCTGTGTCTGCCCATCAAACCCAGAGGTGGGCGGAACCTCTACCCTATTTGCTTGCCTTTCACAGAAAGCTTTGTGGACACTGCGTGCATCTAGTTGCTCTGTTTCTCCCGGAGGGGAGCATGAGGCTTGGGGGTAGGGTAGGGTCTTTCCCCAGCACCCCTGCAGCCAAGGGTGGTGCCTTATGTGGAGCACCCTAGGTTTTTCTGAGCAGGTTCTATGGGAATCTGCTACGTGCCAAGTTTGGAAAGTGCCATTCCCCTTTTCCAGATGGAAGCACCGAGGCTGAGGAAAGGCCTGGGCTTCCAGTGTCATCCTCAAAGATGCCCTGGCCACACTCAACCTGCTGGAGTTGGGGGAGTGGTGGACCCCGTCCTGGAGCCAACCCTGGTGACAGCCATGTCTCCTTTAAGCAGAGCCGCCTGCTGCGGTGGGTGGACTCCGTGCCCAGCCAGTGGTAGCAGCGAGCTCCCCTCCTTCAGCCCCTCCCTGGGGAGGGGAGGGAGAGAAGAAGGGAGGGCTGAGCTCCTCGGGGCTCCCGGAGGAGTTGGCGCGCAGCAGGGGAGACAATAGCGGACATGCTGTGTGGGCTCAGCCACGAGACCCTGGTAGAGGCTGGTACGTAGTGGGCAGGGTGAGGGTGCCCAACTCTGGTGCCTCGGGTGCTGCTGCCCAGGGAGAGAGGACTGGGAGACAGAGACCCAGAGCAGGGAGGGGCACAGGACACCTGCTGGGTGGCTAGCACCTTTTGGCTCCTGCTGTTCCCCAGGGCTGCCCCTGGCCATGTGGAGCAGGGGCAGGTGGGTCTGGGGCTCCCATGGGGACTCTGAGCTGACTGTGCCTCAACCGGAGCCAGGGACTTGCTTGGCCAGCTGCAGGTGGCAGTGAGCTCCCGTCCAGAGGTGTGGCAAGGAGGGAGCTCCCAGGGGTGGAGAGTGGACTGGGGATGGGGGGAGGAGGTGTGTGTGTGTGGGATGGGGAGACAGCTTCCATGCTCCTGGACAGCCTGGACTGGGCCCCAGGGAGGAGTCTGGGACAAACAGATGGGCTGCTCTGGTCATCTGTCATCTGTCCCTCGGCTGGCTTGTTCCCTTCCTTCTACCAGGAGCTTGTTAGGAGCCAGGCCCAGGCTCAGAGCAAGTGCACTCATGCCCTAGGTCACCCCCACCGCCTCACACACTCTGCACATGTCTCTGCAGCAGCGCCAAGGGCAGTGGCTGGGGACAGAGAAGGAGACTGAGGCACAGGGAGGACAGTGGCTGAGCCGGGACTGAAACCCAGAGAGCAATAGTGCTCCCACGCTGATTCGGAGGCGCCAGAGGCTAGCCACATTCACAATGGTAGAGTGGGGGGTTCGGCACCCCCGGCACCCCACACTAGGCTGCATCCTGACCTCCCTGTCTGGATTTTCATTTCCTGCACGTCACAGGGGCGTAGAGTGGACACTGTTGTCCCCAGCTTGCCAAGGCCCAGGCACATGAGGTCACTTCATACAGGGGGCAGAGGGACAGTGAGTCCTGTGGACCTCACCTGGGGTGCTGCCGGAAAGTGCCCTCCACTCCCTGCTGGGCCCCTGACTGCTTCCTGGTCCCAGGGCTGCAGTGGTGCAGAGCTTGCTGGATGGTGGCCTGACAGCCTGCCATTCAGCAAGCATTTGCTCTCTCTGATGGATGCCTCGATCCCACTCACCACGGACTTCCCTTTCACGGGTCTCCCAGCTTCACATCACCTCTGCCTCCATGAGCCTCAGCACAGAGACTGCTTGCTAAAGTGCAGACACGGAGCTGCAGGTGTGGCTCGGCACAAGGGCATAGGGACCAGTATTAGGACTCTTCCTCTTCTCCTTGAGTGGAGGCAAGTGGAGTGGGGCTGGCTTTCTGGCGGACTTTCTGCTCTCTGTGTGCCTGGAAAGCCCCTGGCACCCTCGGGTTTGAGACCGTAAGACCGATGTGTTCGGTCATCGCCAGGGAAGGAGAGCCTGTTTGTAAGCTTCCTGGAGCTGGTGCTCATTGGCCCCTGGTTCGGGCAGATCCCGGGGCCTCTGCATAGGGGCAGCCTCAGGCCCTGTGTCTCCCAGGGAGAGCTGCAGCTCAGGCTGGAATTTGGGACCAGCTGCCAGGTCTGGGCTCCCACCTGGCATTAGGCAATGCCCTGGGAGGAAGGGATGGGAAGCAGCCCGTTATGGCCTGGGTGCAGACCTTGGAGAAAGTCCCTTGCTGGGTCCACTCTCCTGCCTCCCTACATGGAGTCGGGGAGAGGACTCCGATGCCCCACCATAACATGGCTTCGTTCCCAGGGCCTGCAGCAAGGCATGTGTGTGCTGGTGTGAGGGGAGGCGGGGTGGTCTGTGCTCTCTCCAGAGCCGCTACCAGGTTCTGTGAGTGCCTCGGGCAGGTGCCACCTCCTGTGCTGAGGGAAACCCGGATGGAGCACTTAGCAGCCAGTTGCCTGGAGCCAAGACTCTTGAGTATACATCCTGACCCTGGATCTTTTTCAGCCGTGACCTTGAATAACTTCCCACTGCTTATGTAGGTCCACATTCTCCTAGCCTGGGCTGGCTGTGGCATGCAGGAGAGGTATGCTGGGTGTTTGATTAGTACTGGGTGGGGGGTGGGGAGGGTGGAATAGATTGATAGAAGCGTGGCACCCTGGTGGGCAGGGGATGATTGGCAGCTGGCCCTTTGGGTGTGAGGGCTGTGTGATGGTGTTGATCACCGTCAGTAAGTATAAAATGAAGGGAATGAAGGCCTGTACGTGTATGTTTGGACTGGCTGCTGGGGGAGGCCACCCAGACATAGCGACATTCTGGAACCCTTCAGGAGGGAGGGAGGGAAGTTGTGGATGTCTGGGGGGAGTGTTCCAGGAGAGGGAACAGCCAGTGCAAGGGCCCTGGGGTTTGCAGGGCTGGATCCGGGGAAGAGAAGAACTTTATGGGGGAGGCTGGACTGTGAATGATGGCAGGAATGTTTGTTTTTATTCTCCACTCCATGGGCACAGTCTCTCACGGGCGCAGGCAGCTAGCCGCTGTCAGAAATTGAGCTGGTCTGCTGGTAACTCAGTTTTGAGGGCTCCTTCCTCAATGCTGCCAGTCTCACAGTGAAGATGGCGAGAGAGCCCGGGTCCTGCATGTGGAAGGCCCAAACTGAACCAGGTCCTCCACCCCATGTCGGAGGAGGACAAGGGTGCTGGCAGCCTCCTCGGGAGATGCCCCCAGCTCCTGGTGTGCTTAGGCCTGTGGGCGCCAGAACCATCACTCAGGACTGTGCAGCTGCCCTCTTAGCACCCTAACACTCCACATGTGGGGTTCCTTGTCTCCTGTCCAGAGGCAGAGAGCAGAGCTGAGAGTTAAGGATGCAATGTGCTGGGGGGTTCAGAGATTCCTGGGTTTGCCCTTGCTCTGCAGCTCACCAGGGCCGTTTCTTGGGGCTTCAGTCTGCCTGTGTGTGGGATGGGGACAGTCATTGAGGTGCTGTCCTGTGGATTTCACTGCATTCCCGCACGTCAAGGCTCAGAGCCCGCCTGGCTCTTTTTCTGATCCTCAGCACTTGCAGTTGGGTTGTTCGTGCTATGAACTGTTCATTCCTTACTGTTCATGGCTTTCAAAACAAGCAGGTGCTGAGCCGGCCCTCTCCATACTTCTCTATCATAGGAGGCTGGTGGGGGCTGGGCCTGGCATTCTGAATTCTTGGTCAGCTATATCTCTGCGACAAACACAACCATACCTGGTGGGCAGCCCAGGACTGCAGGGTCAGCCCTGAGTGCCGGTCTGCCCCAGGATGGGTCACGGAGAGCAAAAGTCCTCTCTGGGAACCAAGGGGACCTGGGCTTGGGTCTGGGTGCCCCTGGAGGGTTCCCTTAGCTTGCATGTGCCCCACTTGCCTCATCTATAGAGCAGAGGTAACGGTATCCCCTCCCGTGTGGCAAGGCTGCAGTAAGTTCATGCTTCTAAAGCACATGGCCTAGAACCCTGTACCACATCACAGGTTCTCACAGGGTGAGTGACAGCTAGGAAGAGAGCTGTCTGCCAGCTTGGGAGCTGGGTCCCTGCCCCCACATGCAGACAAGGTGAGGGGACTCTGACCCCATAGCCAAGAGACAGCTGGCTGGAACCAGAACCCAGAGTTGGCCTACCCAAGTTTACCCTCCCTTTTCAAGGGGCTGGACACCAGGGCAGGGTGGTGCCTGGGGCTCGAGCGTCACTTGGTGGTTGCATTGTGGCTCTGAGAATCATCCGCCCTGCCCTTTCCAGTCCCATGCACTGTTGTGAATGCTGCAGTGAGAGTGTGTGGGAACCCCAGTCCAGGCCCCCTTCTGCCGAACACACAGTGGTCCCAGCGACAGCTCCTGTCTGTGCCCAGATGTGGGTGTATGCTTTCCTCCTGTTCCCTTCTCTAAGGTCGTGGAGACCCCACCTGGCCCCCCGGCCTCTTGCCTGCTGCCCAGCTGAGGCGGGCCCTGGCCAAAGCAGCCTGGCAGGAGCCAACTTCCTTTGCCCTTTGTCACAGCTCTGCAGCTCCCTGGGGCTCCAAGAGGGGGAGATCAGGAAGGCAAATGAATGATTTCCACAGAAGTGAAGAAAAAAAGACAAGGCCGCTTCCCCCAGCAAGGGAACCCACCACCAGGCTGCAGGTGTGCAGATCTGCACCCCTTCCCAGCCCTCAACCCTCCTTCCCCCGGGTGCCCCATCTGTATTTGGTGGCCCCGGAAACAAATTTCCCTCTGAAGCGAGTTCTTACAGGACTGACTGACTGAAGGCAAAAGCTCATAATTGCCCATTGCTGGAAGGAGGAGACAGGAAAAAAAAACACACGGCTAAAAATATCTCTGGTTTTTATGCATGTTTCCAGCTGGAAATTGGTGGGAAAGATGTTTTTGAAAAGCCTTCATCTCTAAGCGTGTAATTACTGGGTCCCAGAACAAAAGCAAGAGCGGGGGAGAGTACAAGCGTGTTCTCCGAAGGAGGAGGCCGGGGTCTGAACCCCATGAGGCTTTCCATAAATAAAGTGACCCCTCAGCTCCCCCAGCCCTGGGCCAGCAGGAGTTGCCAGTGAGAGGAACACTCCCATTTCACAGATGGGGAAGTGGAGCAAATCACGGGGCAGATTGAGACTTGGGGGTCCCTCCTCAATAGCTGGTGTGTGTTGGTTTCTCCCACAACGACATGGGGTGCCATGTCCTCTCTGAAAAGGCACCAGCTCTGGTGGATGCCTTTCGGGATGGGGCAGGAGTCATCTCTAATATGCCTATGCCTTCCTTGGAGAGATCATTCACATGTCCAGTTAGTGCCCACTACCTCTGCTTGCCCCTATAGCTCCGGAGCCCAAAGCCAGCAGGATGGTGTGAAAGGGACGGAGTCGGGGGATCCCGCTCCGCCGTCCAAGAGTGTCACTGTAGCCAGTCAGGCACTGTGCGGTTCATGCAGCACCTTATGAATACTGAGCGGCGGATGGACTGGCAAGTGGCAGCATTGACCCCAAGGACAGACACCACAGCCACCTGGGAACAGGTGCCCGCCCGCAGCAGCCACTTTCAGTGTCTGGGGTTATGCAGCCTCTTGGACTGGGGCTCTGGCTGCTTTAACATCCAGCTCAACTCCTGCTGCTGCCCTTGGCCCTGGCCAGGGTTCACTGCTCTGAGTTGGCACCTGGGGCTCGCTTCCATGGCTCTTCCTCCCCCTTCGCTCTCCCTAGGGGTGCACAGGTGACAGGAGGCGAGGAGAGGGATACACTGGTATCCAGAGTTTGGGGAGGGCGGGAATAGGCTTTCATTCAGAGCTGCCTGGTGACCTCCCAGCTGTTTGCTGCTGCCGAGTGCGTGGCACCTGATCTTGCACATTTTATTAACCCAGAAAGTCTTGTTGGATCCAGATGAAGTGTGTCTGAGGGAACTGTAATGGGAGGCATTAGACTTAATGGGGCGTTGTCGGAACTGGAGGCGGCCGATGAAAATGGGGGCCTGAGGGAGGGGGTTGAACAGAGCTGCTGGGGCTTGACCCTGGCGGCTGTAGAAATGAGTCTGGCTGAAGTGTTTTGTGATTTTTGTGATTTATTGTTTGCCAACCTTGGCCAGCTAGGGAGCCCGGCCCTGGTTTGGCAGAGCGGGGAACTGGGGAGCTGGGAGGGGTGATTAGGGCTGCAGGGTGATGAAGGCTGAGGTGGAGCTCCCCCCAATCCAGGCTGAGCCCCGCCCACCCCACCTGGTTGACCCCCACCCCTGACTTCAGCCTCATTCTCACTAGCAGTGATGGTTGCCTCCTAGGGCACAGTGGGCAGTCTGGAGTGGTCTGAATTGCCACAGATGCTGTTGGCATCTGATGGTTAGCAGGTAGGGAAGCTGCTAAACTCCTTGGCTTGTGTCCCCTTCCACCTAAGGAATCACCAACTCCCAGGGGGCCCCTGTGCCAGGGGAGGAAGGCACTGTAGACGGAATCTCTGGCCTGCTGGTGAGGGAAACCATCACTCCTGAAGAAGGCTGGCCTTATGCCCACTGCTCTATTATACCTGCCAGCTGCAGATAATTAGAAAGTGAGGTCTGAGAACCATCTGGTCTGTGCTACCATTGGCACCTGAACTCTCCAGGTACCTGCTGAGTGTCACATGCAATCCAAGCTGATGCTGGAAGGTGCTGCCCGGTGTGCAGAGCAACTGGAACCCTTTAGCCTGGTTGGTGGGGGGTGGAGCCTCAGAGGCATCTTCCCAAGCAATGGAGAGAGGATTCCGTTTATGTCCGTATAAGGTTTAACCCTGGAGCAGCAAGAGTCATGTATACATACAGGTGCTGGGCCCCTCCCCACAGCACTGTGGGACTGTGGTCTGGCCTTGTTGAACCCTCCTCCAGCAGCCCAAAGGGTGTCTGAGCCAAGATCTCCCACCCACCATTGTCACTGGAGTCCCAGGCATGAGATGGGATGCAGAACTTATACACATCAACACCCCCCTTTCCCCACCGCTGTGTGTAGCCAGCCCTCTGAGCCATAGGCTCGGCTTGTGGGATTCAGCCATCTGCAGGTGGAAAACACTCCAGGGGAAAACGTGCCTGTACTGGTTACCCACAGACGCCGCCCAGTCGTCATTCCCCAGATGATGCAGTGGAAGGGTGTGAGCCTCCCAGAGGCGATTTAAGATGCTGGGAGGACGCCAGAGGGTTCTGTGGGGCTGGTGCTGCAGCAGGGGTTCCTGGAGCCAGTTTTCCGAGGATGCCTCCGTTCATCTCCAGATGGCCTGGAATCCCTCAGCCAGCACAAGAGCCCTGGGAGGTCGCCGTCCTCTGCTATGCAGGGAATGAGGACAAGGAAAGCGTGTCTGTGTGCTCAGCACTGATGTATTTCTCTCTAGTGTTTTCAAAAAGCTGAGTCCGCATGCTGCTTGGAGAACGACTTCCTAATTTCCCAACAACGGGCAACCTAGAAGACAGACTTTGTTACAGATTAGCCACATCCAGGGAGATGGTAACAGAGAGCACAAGGGGGAAGTCCGAGTGAAGTGCTGAAGTTTACCTGTTAAGCACTCAGTGCTCAGAGGTGGGGGGATTCACGTGGATGGAATCATGGGAAAGCATTTTTTTGCAGTAAGGCTAAGGGTGCTGACTCACTTCTCAGGGAAGGATGAGACTGGGAAGTGGCATCCCCAGGAGGGAGCCTTGAGCAGGTCCGCTCAGTTTGGAGTTTGCCCACGGGCAGCCCTGTGACACCTGTGCTCGGGAGTGCTCTCGGTCTCAGCAGGTGTGCAGGCACAGCCCTGGGCGGTAAGGCCAACAGACTTGGGTTTTGTGATTGAGTGCACAAGTCTCAGCTTACCCGTTTGTACGGTGGAGTGAGAGCACTCCCAGTGTCAAGATGACCCTCTGCGTGCTGTCGGGATGTTCAGGTGCTGAGCGGCCGTGACACTCCATGCCAGGCACTCAGCATACCAGGAGCCAGGTACTGAGTCTTCCTTGGTGGAAGCTGGGACAGTAGCCCAGCTGGGAGTGGGGCGTTACTGGCAGCTAGAGGGACCTGCTTAGCACCTGGGTGCAGGCAGGAGGTGCAGGCAGGTCTTCTTTCTCTTGCTGCAGATGACGGGCCCTACTGCAAAGGAGCCAAGGATGCCAGTGGGGCGGACATGGCCCTGGCATGCCGCCGACAGAGTGTGCCGGGTAAGGGCTGCTTCTCCGTGCTCCGCTCCTTGCCCTGGAGCTAGAGAACTCTGCGTGGCCTTCAGGCTTGAGCTCACAGCTATCAGCGCCCTGCCCTGTGACCTCACCCCATTTCCTCCACCTCTGGGTCCCATTGTCAGCCTCCCTAGCTCACCCTCCCATCTTTTGGCAGAGGAGTTCCGGGGTGTTACCGTGGTGGAGCTGCTCAAGAAGGAAGGCAGCACCCTGGGCCTCACCATCTCCGGTGGCACTGACAAGGATGGGAAGCCCAGGGTCTCCAACCTGAGGCCTGGGGGGCTCGCTGCCAGGTGAGAAGTGGGCTTGCAGGGTCATCATGGGTCATGGGCAAAGCATCCAGAGGCAGTGGCTTCCAGGAGCACCCAGCAGCTTGGTGTCTGTGACAGAGGAGGTCTCCTGTGGGGAACCATGGTTCCTGGCCCCGTGTCTCCCTTTGCATCTACATGCGGCCTGTTGGCTGGAAGTCACACTGCTTCTGGAAGGCCCTCCCTGGTCTGACCCCAGACCTAGACAGCCATGGGTACACATCCACATGTTTCCTGTGTTCTTCCCTCTGTGAACCCCTTTGGCCTCGGGCACTGGGGATCTGCCCCTCTGTCACTGCCTCCACTGGCCACTCACAGTGCGGGCACGCTGGTTCCGGGAGAGTCTCAGTGGAAAGCAGCAAGAGCGCTGGGGGCTGGCAAGGGACAGATGATCTGGCCCCGTGGGCTGGTCCCATGGGCTGGTACGGGGCCTGGCCATCAGACAGATTACGATTGTCACTGACCCTGAGCTGGCATCTGGCTCCACTGAGCCTCAGCTTGCCCAGCTGTGAAGTGGGCTCCATGCTGGGGGTGCATGGCTCCACTGCTGAGCTCCACCGCCCGGTCACAGGAGCGACTTGCTGAATGTGGGTGACTACATCCGGTCGGTGAACGGGATCCGCCTGGCCAGGCTGCGCCATGACGAGATCATCACCTTGCTCAGGAACGTGGGCGAGCGCGTGGTGCTGGAGGTGGAGTATGAGCTGCCCCCGCCTGGTGGGTGCCCCTGGACGGGGAACTTTCTCGGCTGCCTTGGTTATGGGTGGTCACAGCTGCTTCCCCACACCAGGGCCTGGGTGGTGGGGGCCTGTGCCGGATGAGGTGGGTGGCACTTGAAGACCAGCCTGGGCTGGTACTGGTGGGACTCTGGATCTTTTGCAACTCTGCACATGCAGTTGCTGTTTGTTTTTCCTGGGAGTTGGGGAGGGTTGGCTGAGTGCCTCGCCCCCTGAGCCCTGCTCCCCCATTCCCCCCAGCACGGTATACCTAAGAACAGTAGCCTGGAGCTTTTGCCTAGCTCTCAAGTTTGAACCATTGCCAAAAGTCTTGACACCCCAGTAACTCTGTGATTTGGCCTAAGGCTACAGTGAGGCCAAGGCCTCCACAGCACAGGCAGCCCCTTCTCTGGAAGGAGCGGTGAGATGGGTGGGGCTTGCCCTCCCTACAGGTTCTGCGACCTGTTGGTCATCCAGCTCTCCTGGAACAAGCTCTGGGGAGGTCTCCCAGCTTGGAGATGTGACTGAAAGACTCAAGGGAGTTCTCCCCTTCTCCCCAGCCCCCGAGAACAACCCAAGGATCATTTCCAAGACCGTGGACATCTCCCTCTACAAGGAAGGCAGCAGCTTTGGTTTCGTTCTCAGAGGTCAGTGTGCGTGGCCCTGGGAGCGAGGGAAGGGGCAGACAGGGAGCCAGTGCTACTGTCTGTTCTTTTTCTGCCTTAATGAATGTGATTGATCGAGTCTGATCGTAAACAATGACCGTTCCACCAAGTGCTAAATGGGAAATTTTGCCAAGTAACCAAGTGTGCGTGAAGAAAATTGTGCTAGAAAATGATGGGGAAATGATGGCTGCTCCTGGGATTTTGAGCTGTCTAGCAGTCTGGTCCAAAGGGAAGTGTGCTGAGGTCACAGGAAATGGTCAAGATGTTTACTAACAGAGAGAGGTCTTTGGTCATGTTTCCTCCGGGAGGGGGCTGTGGATGGCAAACAAGACTGTCCTGGAGGAGCCTACCCAGGGGCTGGGTCAGGGATGGGGTGGGATGACCCGTCTGTGGCTCGATTCTGTGCAGGTGGCGCCCATGAGGATGCGCACAAGTCCCGCCCACTGGTCCTCACGTATGTGCGGCCCGGCGGCCCTGCTGACAGGTGAGTGTGGGTTCTTGCCAGGCCCCTCCAGGAAGAAGGCAGAGTGGGGCACTTGGGTCTCTTCCCTAGATGAGCAGACAGAGGCCACAGAGTCAGGGAGTCATGGGTGGAGCTGGCATATAACTCCAGGTGGGAGAGACCCAAGCTTGCTCTTTCCCTGGCTCCTGCCATCTGGCATGCCTAAGCTGGGCAGCTGTGGGGTAGCTCTCCAGGGCTTGGGCATCAACCATGGCTGTGGCTCTCTGAGAACTCAGTCTCATGAGTGCTGGTGATGCTGCCCAGCCCCCAGTGACCTGGGACTGGCGGAAAGTTGGGAGAATGTGGCCCTGGCTCCTGACCCAGCTGGCGGGCAACTCCTGGCTATTTGAAGCAAAACATGGACAAGCCTTGTTCAGATATCTAAATCCATCTGGGGACAGGCCTGTGACAAGCTATTCATGGAACTCCCAGAATAGTTCGGGCCACCTGTCGAGGCAGCATGCAGGGTGCGGGTTTGACCCAAACCGAGGTGAACCCTGGGAACGCCCTCCCCCCAGGGCCCTGCTGAGTTCTTTCCCAGGCCCTTCTGTCACTGGGCCAGAGTCACCGCTGGGAAACTGGGGTGGAGCAGCAGGAAGCCTGCCCCTTACCACACCCCATCCCACCCCACCCCACCCCACCCCAAGTGTGGCTGGCATCCTCTCTGAGCATTGGTACTCTCAGACCTGGCCCTAGGGCCACATGGAGGCTGAGACCAAGGCCACCTGATGCCTGCTGCCATGTGCTTTCCTGGCAACCCCCCTAGCTGGGCCGGCCTGGCTGATGGGGGCCTTTCTCCTTAGGGAGGGCTCCTTGAAGGTGGGCGACAGGCTGCTCAGTGTTGATGGGATCCCGCTGCATGGGGCCAGCCATGCCACAGCCTTGGCCATGCTGCGACAGTGCAGCCATGAGGCGCTCTTCCAGGTGGAGTACGACGTGGCCACTCCAGGTCAGCAGGGAACCTGTGGTTGGGAATTGAGTCGGGGAGGCGGTGGCCCACTTCACAGGCTGTGTGAGCTTGGGCCAGTCCCTTAGCCTCTCTGGGCAATAAGTACCCTGGGCAATGGCCCAAGCATAGTGGAAGCCCTGGGGGTGCAGCTGGCAGACAAGGTTAGCAAGCACAGCAGTTGAATGGCTGTGTGAGCAAGAGCCTTAAGCTCTCCATACCTCAGTTTCCATGGTTGGACAGTGGGTGTAGCAGCTTGCTAAGGCAGGAACAGTCAGATGGAGAGCTCCAGCAGCCATGGCTCAGGATTGTTTGCTGTCCCACCTGCAGACACTGTGGCCAATGGGACAGGGCCCCTGGTAGTGGAAATAGCCAAGACGCCAGGCTCTGCCCTGGGGATCTCACTCACCACAGGCTCCCACCGGAACAAGCCAGTCATCACGATTGATCGCATCAAGCCTGCCAGCGTGGTGGATAGGTGAGGCACACAGTGGGTGTGGGACCAGCAAGGGAGTAGGGGCCCAGGGCTCTGTCTGGTCCAGCCAGCCCACCCATCTTGCTACCTTGCTCTGAACAGGAGTGGGGCCCTGCATGCTGGAGACCACATCCTGTCCATCGACGGCACCAGCACTGAGCACTGCTCCCTGCTTGAGGCCACCAAGCTCCTGGCCAACGTGGCCGAGAAAGTACGCCTGGAGATCTTGCCTGTGCCACATAGCCAGCGCCCCCCGAACCCCTCTGAGGCAGGTGGGTCCCCTCCGCTGATGCCAAGGCCTGCAGGGCGCCCTGGGTGGGCTGGCAGGAAGTGTGACACTTTGCATAAAAGGGGTTCCCATCTGGAAGTCCAGGGCAGTTGCTGGGGGTGGGAGATGGGACAGAGAATCTATGGGGTCAGGGGTGGGGCTCAGTGACAACCTGCTGTCCCACAGCTGTTCCCACAGCTGGCTGCCCCTCTGGCTGTGTGAATAGAAGTGTAAAACCTGGGGTGAGTGGTGGGGGAGCAGTTACTGGGGTCTGCACTTGAGTTGTCAGCTCCCGGCAGGCACAAAGGGCCTGGGGCAACCCCTATGGGTGGGGGTTGGCTCCCAGCTAGAAGCAGGGAGCCAGGGATCTGGGCAAGGGACTTTGGCTTCTGATTCTAAGCAGGTGCCTCTGCTTCCGCAAACGGGGGTGAGTACCCTGGATGGGTACATGGGCATGGGCATGGGAAGGGGTAGTGCTCAACCCAGGGCTGAGGTCAGGTTGGTCAGGCTGTGGATGGAGGGGGTAGGTTCTGGCCTCTACTCTCACATCAGATAAGGGGTGTAGGCCTGTGGGGAGGTCAGGTAAAGGGCCTACAGAGAGGCCATCTTGGCTGTGTCCAGAGGGGGGCCTTGCTGAGCCCCAGGCCTGGGCTGTGTGGCCTCTGGGCCAGAAGCAGCCTTGCCCTGTTTGCTGGGCACCTGCTGAATGCCAGGCTTGGTGTCCTGACCCTCCTGTGAGGGCTGGCTCAGGATGCTAGTTCCCACCCCCGACCCTGTGTCACAGAGGCACCTCATTCTTGCTCTCTCTGGACCCCAGGAAGGGCCTGTCTCTTGGTACCATTTTACAGTTGTTGATAGGGAGTCATGGAAAAGCTGACCAGTGCCCAGGCTGGGGTTTGTCCCAGGCAGCTGGCTCCAGAGCTGGCTGAGCCCCTGGTGGGAGTGAGGACGCTGCCTGAGCGACAGACACTGGGCTAAGACAGAGTGTTTGCCTGACCTTCCAGGGCTTGGTCAGCGCAGGCAAAGCCTGGCAGCAGGAGTGGGAGCCAGGACAGGGCGATGCTGGTAGCCTGGGAGGAGGCATCCTGTGGTGACAAGTTTGGAGCAGACAGGAATTCACAGAGGACCCAGGAATGCTAGGGGAGAAATGGGAACAGCCACAAGGGTGATGGACATGGGTTTTGGCCAATCACAAGAACCCAAGGCTACCCGGGGCAGGAAGAAGCGGCCCTGGGGCCCCAGATGCAAGGGTGCAGCCCTGAGGGATCCCGGAGGTACCCCCGTAGCCACCCCCTTCCTTAGCCTTCCTTGGGATGCCTGGGGGCTGTGCTCCCAGCTGCAAACCTCTTGGGCCCCAGAGCGGCTCTCAAGTTCACCCCTGCCCCACCGCTTGCCAGCTGAGAGCTGAGCAGCTCATCTCCTTGCTCCTTCCCTGCAGCAGGTGTCTTGGGCACAGTACCCAGGAAGGTCTTCTGCTCCTTCATACCCAGAGGCAGCCAAACAGGGGACCCTGGGGACCTCTGCCAGACGGGCTGCATCTGCCTCTCTTCTTTCTCCCCTCCCCTCACTGGCTGCAGTGAAAGTGCAGAGGAGCGAGCAGCCTCACCGCTGGGACCCCTGTGTGCCCTCCTGCCACAGCCCCCGGCCCGGTCGCTGCAGGACACCCCCCTGGGCCGCCTCAGCTGGCCAGGACCAGAGCCGATGTAAGGTGCCCACGCGGTAGCTCTGCGTGTCCCTCCTGTCCTTTCCTGGGGAGGGGCTTGTGCCTATGGAGTGGGTGGACATCAAGACTTAAGGAAACCAGGGGTCCCTGCCTGTCACCCAGTGTGTCAGTGATGCTGTGGGTCCCTAGCCCCAGCAATTGGGCTCCTCCACCCCTGTGGAAGCTCCAGTGTCTCAAAGGCTTGCCTGAGGTCACAGTGCCTGGCAGGTGGAGTGGGAGGCAGGGGTTAGAGGGGAGTCTGGCCTTGCGGCATGGAACAAGCACCCTGCCAGGGCTCACGGGTCTCTGCTCTCATCTCCCTAGCCTTGTCCTCCTCTCCCTTCTCCTCACCAACCATGAACCACGCCTTTTCCTGCGCCAACCCCAGCACTCTCCCCCGCGGATCCCAGCCCATGAGCCCCAGGACGACAATGGGCCGGAGGAGACAGCGAAGACGCGAACACAAGAGCTCACGTAAGCCTGGCTGTCTTCCCTCTGCAGGAGTTGCTGGCGTGCCTACGGGGACTGCAGAGGGTACCTGGGCCAGGGCTCCTGCTGCATGTGTGTTGGGGAGGGGAGGAGAATTTTACTGACAGGAGCTGTTGTTCATCCGGCTGCTAGGGATGGTCCGGCAGGTTTTGTGCTGCCCAAGGGCACAGCTGAGGGGTGCCAATTACTGTGTGTTCTTTTAGTCTTAGGTATGATTTTTATTTGAGGGACACAGAGATGAAAAGATGAAGACAGAGTGCTGTGCTGGTTTACTCCCCAGATGTTTGCAGTGGCCAGGGCTAGGCCAGGTCAAAGCTGGACGCTCAATTCAGGATCCAAGTTGCTGGAGCTCTCGCGGCTGCCTCCCGGGGTGTGCATCAGCAGGGAGCTGGAGCCAGGACTTGGACCCGGACAGTCCGACGGGGTGGTGGGCCTCGCTAGGCTGAGCACGCTTGCTCTGGTGATCACATAGCCTTTAGACGTCTAGCTCCTGTTCTTGTGATATTCTACCCAGCCGGCCCAGCAGGCCCAGTGCCTGGGGGACAGATCTGCAGGACCCCAGATACTGGCTGCTGGATCCAGGCCCCCTCTTGCCAAGGCGGAGGTCCAGGGCAGTGTGAGTGTGACTTCTCACATCTCTGCCATCTGGGAACACCCCTGCAAGAGGCACACACAGGCCTGAGCCTGTCATCCCCGACAGTCCTCTCTGTTTTCACTACAGACATGCGTGCATGCAGAGTCACGCATTGCTTGGCAACAGGAATGTGCTCTGGGGAATGTGTTTTTAGGAATTTGTGCAGATGTCACACGGTGCACCTGCCCAAACTGAGATGGCATGCTGTCAGTGTGTGACATGGTCTCAGAGAAGGACTCTCATGTCCATGTGACTCTGTGCGTGTGCACACGCGTGCACGCACACACATTTCTGGCTACTGTTGCTCAGAGCTGTTTCTGTTTGTGATCACTACCTGTGTGGTAAAGTGCACAGTGCGGGAGGCGAGGTGGGAAAGCAGAAGCTATGTGAGGGCCTGGGGGTTTGAAATCTTTCCCTCGAAGAGCCAGTCCTCTGGTGGCTGAGAAGGGTCCTGTGGGACTTGCAGGGCCCCCAGGAATGGTGGGAGGTGAACTGGGCCATTGTGGTTGACCCAGGTGAAGGAAGAGAGGAGTAAAAATCACTCGTTATGGCTGAGATCCCCAGCAGCCAAAGGGGAAAGAGAAACATTTCAGACTCAGGTGTGAGCTGCAGCAGACCTGGGACAGTCACTCAGCTGGAGATGTTAGGTAAAAAGCAGGAAAGGCCATTCCTGGGTGGGGGCCATGGAGGTTAGCGACTCCTGGGACCCCCTTCCGAGCCCCCTTTCCAGGTTAAAAGTATTGGAATTATTGGCAATAATGAAGTCATTAAATAGGAGGGCCAGCCACCATTTTTGTCATTGTGATAGTGAGAAACATAATGCAGATAAACGTAATAGCATATCTAATACCATATGGCATGAAATATGTCATTTTAACTATTTCATAATAAAGTAATATAGAAAGAGAACTAGTAACAGAAAGAAATAAACTCGTTGCGTAAATAGCAAAAGTATTTAATGTTGGTATCAAGAAGACAGTGTGTTTTATGCGGGCTATGAAATAACATCTAGTAGGCAACACCATGATTCACATCGTCCAGCATGGAGTTAGCCTTGTAGCCAAGCGGTTCCACTCTAGAGCAGTGAAGGCAGCTGGACCGGAGGTCTGCAGCCGGATGAGGGAATAGGCCCAGTGTGCATGCACAGCGGGGTGTGTGCAGTGGTACAAGTTTACTCAGCTGTGGTGAGCGGTGGACTGGCTCCCTACCCCTGCCACGACACTGGCAGACCTGGGAAACCCAGCCAGGTGTGAGGGACCCCAGAAGGCCACGTGCTGTGTGGCTATGTTTGCACAAGATGCCAGGAGCAGGCAAGTCCGTACAGACGGATTGAGGTCGGTGCTGGCTTGGGGCTGCCGGAGTTGGGGTGAGGTGGGTAACAGTCCTAGGGAAAGGTTTCTCTGTGAAGAGGTAAAGCCATGCTGATGCTGACTGCAGTGCTGGCTACGAGCCCCTGGGATTAAAAGCCATGGTGTGGCACGCTATAAGCGGGCATTGCCGTGGCCCTTGAATTACGTCTCTGCAGTCGGATGACACCAACCCCCAGCACCTCTGTGTTACAAAGTGTGCCTCCCTTGCCATGGCCCTAGCAGGTGGTGTGGGACGCTTGGGGCTGTGCAGAGGCCATCCTAGGTGGAGTCACAGCCACCCTCACCTGCCTCTTGGCCAGGAAGCCCACCATGTGCTGTGTTCCCTGTCCCACAGTGTCCTTGGCCTCCAGTACGGTGGGGCCCGGTGGGCAGATTGTGCACACGGAGACCACGGAGGTGGTGCTCTGCGGGGATCCGCTCAGCGGCTTCGGCCTTCAGCTGCAGGGTGGTGTCTTTGCCACTGAGACCCTGTCGTCCCCTCCCCTGGTACGCTTCATCGAGCCCGACAGCCCAGCTGAGAGGTGAGCATGCCGCAGCATCCCGCCTGGTCCTGTTGAGAGGGCTCAAGGAAAGGCAGGGAAATGGGGTCCCAGTCCCAAGCCCTGACTTCACGAGTGTATCCATTGAAGCATCACCCCGCCCCAGTGCCAGCCTCATTGCACAGCCAAACTGAGGTCCAGCCAGGTGGAACCCTTAGCCAGAGTCATGTGACCACTTGCTGGCTTGGGGCAGGGCTGAGAGTCACACCCCATTGGGGTCGTTCTGAAGCCTCTTCCTTCTGGGATGCAGGTGTGGGCTGCTGCAGGTCGGGGACCGTGTGCTGTCCATCAATGGCATTGCCACGGAGGATGGGACGATGGAGGAAGCCAACCAGCTCTTGCGGGATGCAGCACTGGCCCACAAGGTCGTGCTGGAGATCGAGTTTGATGTGGCAGGTGAGTGTGGGCACTGGAATGCTGCCCTGTCTAGTGTCCTCTCCCAGGGCTGCCATGGAGGGAAGGCTGCCATGTGCTGGTGAGGGCTTGAGATGGGTCTGTGATGTGTGACAGATGGAACTCAGAGGAGGGGAACCACAGAACTGCGGCACTGGCCATATTCCCTGTTCCTTCCCCATGTGGTTCAAGCCCAGAACTGCAGGCCAGTGCCTGGGTTAGGGTCCAGGCCATGTGGCTTTGCACAGGACGCTGCTCCTGTCATTAGCCTGAGTGGTGGGTGGGTCCGTTGAGATCAGTGAGGTGGAGGTGCCCAGCCCAGGCTGGCTCATGACCACTGCCTGGGAACCTGCGCTGGATGCAGAAGGGCTGGGCTTTGCCTCAGGGATCCTCCCTGGCTGTAGTTGGGACTCCTCGGGGATTCCGGTCTCATCTGCTCTGCCAACAGCTGGTTGCTTGTCTCTGGCCAGTCTTGGTGTGCATCAGTTGGAATTGTGGCTTTGAGGGGCTCCCGTAGCAGATCCAAATGCACAGTAGATGGGGGCCTCCGGAGACTCCCCGCTTGTGTCTCATCTGGTCCCTGTCTATTTGTACCCAGAGTCCGTCATCCCAAGCAGCGGCACCTTCCACGTGAAGCTGCCCAAGAGGCGAGGCGTGGAGCTAGGCATCACCATCAGCTGTGAGTCCTTTCTCTGCACACTGCTTAGCCTGGAGCAGCGCTTGTCCATGGTGGCTGGCATGGAGGGCTCAGGGAGGATTGCCAGCTGACATCCCTCCCTTCCACTCTGCCAGACCCGGCTGCATGTCCATGGGCAGGACCTGGGTTCTAGGAGCCTTGGTTTCCCGTTCTGCACAGCGGACACCATCTGGCCCTATGGGTCTCTCCTAGTGGGACTTTACGGTGTCCTTGGAGGTGTGCTACCTACCTAGGCATCCTCAGAGGCCAGATGAGGCCTGGCACACAGACAGGGCTTGAATGTGTGTTTGTCTTAGGAGTGAAAGTGAGGATTGTAGAACCTAAAGAGAACCAGAGAATTTGTGACCCTTGGCATGAGGAGCGCTTTGTCCTGCTCCTGGCTGCCCAGAGTGGAGCCGAAACCCTCCCAGGGCTAGGAAGGCTGTGTGACGGTCCCTGGGACCGAGACGGGTCCCACTCTGGCCCGGTTGCAATGTCCCGTCTGTCCCTTCCTGCCTTAGGGGCTTTGCATGAGAGATTAAATTTGTCCACATCCCATACATTTTTTCCAACCCCACTAGCCTGGCAGCTCCCCGTGATGGGCACCTGACGTTGAACCAGGTGATGTGAGTGGAGGTACCCACAAGCCGGCCCCTCAGGGATGGGGGCAGGAAGAAACGGAACTGACGTTGGTTGAGCACCTGCCGTGTGCCAGGAGCCATACTAAGTTTTGTGCCTGCATTATCTATCTTTGGTTATTCATGTTTAGTTATTCATGAGGCAGAAGGAAGGAAGGAGACAGGGAGAGATCCCATCATCTCTCTGTAGTGGCCAGGCTGGACCTAGCTGAAGGTGGGAGCAGGGCATCCACTCCAGGTTGGAGCCCAGTTACCCAAGTCTTCCTTGCTGCTACCTGGCATCTGCATTGGTGGGAAGTTAGGTCAGGAGCCAGAGCTGGGGGCTTGAACCCAGGCTCCATTTGATATGAAACTCCTAATCAGTTAACTATTGAACTCAGCTCAGGCCCCCATGATCTGGTTGAAGGTTACCACGTGTCCTTGAGGGCTGGGGCATCACCATTCTGGTACTGAGGGGAAACCAAGGCACAGGAAGGTGAGCTGATTTGCCCACTGCCAGGATGCAGTGAGACCAGGATGTGAACAGTGTGTGGGCCTCCAGCCCATACCCGGTCCTGCCCAGGCCTTGGTCCACCCCCTGTGGCCATCTGGGGTCATAGTCTCTGCTTCCTCTCCCCCAGCAGCCAGCAGGAGGCGCGGGGAGCCCCTGATCATCTCTGACATCAAGAAAGGCAGCGTGGCACACAGGTAGGGTGTCTGGGCACCAATGGGGCATGGGGCTGATAGGTGTGGGCGTGCCGCCTGCATGCGTCAGGCTCCTTCCCGTCCCCCACCCGGCTCATGCAGGACTGGCACCCTTGAGCCAGGCGACAAGCTGCTGGCCATCGACAACGTGCGCCTAGACAACTGCCCCATGGAGGATGCCGTGCAGATCCTGCGGCAGTGCGAGGACCTGGTGAAACTCAAGATCCGCAAAGACGAAGACAACTCAGGTAGGCACCTCCTGCTCCACTCCGCGTCCCGCCAGGCCACTCCTGGGGCTGCAAGTGCAGGGGTGGGGCAGCCCCATGGCCCAGTTGCCTTCCTCAGCCATCCTGAGACCCCCAGGAGTTTGCCCAGCTCAAACTCTGGTGCAGTAGACCCCGGAGGGGCCGTGGGCAACAGTTGAGGGGACAGACACTGGGGACTGCATGTCTGGGCAGGCACCGTGTGGGGACACAGCCGCTGCAGTGTGAATGCCTGATGTAGGGAAGAGTTGCCCACACTTCCCTGGGGAGAGAGGTTTATTCTGAGCAGATGTCTTTCTTTTTTTAAGAAATGTTGGAAATTGGGTTTCTTTTCTGAAAATTGATTTATTTGAAAGGTAGAGAGAGATTTCTCATTGGTGGTTCATTCCCCGAATGTTGGCAACAGTTAGTGGCTGGACCAGGGCCAAGCCAGGAGCCAGGAATCATTCCAGGTCCCCAGTAGGACCCAGCTATTGGAGGGCGCCACCCCTTGCTGCCTGCTAGGGTGTGCAGGAGCAGGAAGCTGGAATGGGGTGTGGAGCCAGGACTCAAACCCACAGACTCTAGTGTGGGATGCTGAGTGTCCCAAGAGCGTTCCTGCCTCCTCTCCCGCTGTTACCAGTGTCAGTGTTGTCGCTCTTTGGGTGGTGGGCAGAATCTTTCTGCTTCTTTTTATTTCAATAGCGTTTGGCAGAAAAAGCTGTTGTGGAGGCCGGAGATGGCCTGGGGGTCCTGTGTGAGTGTGTGACATCTGTCCGTTGTGGTGTTTGTGAATGGAGAGGTAAGGGTGAGTGATGATGCCAAGGCCATGGGGCTGGAGCCACTCAGTGCCTGGCCCTGCTGCCCAGCCTTGCCCTGTCCCTCACGAGTGTCCCCTGCTGTGCAGATGAGCAGGAGACCACAGGCGCAGTGAGCTACACCGTGGAGTTAAAACGCTACGGGGGCCCCCTGGGCATTACCATCTCGGGCACCGAGGAGCCTTTCGACCCCATCGTCATCTCGGGCCTCACTAAGCGAGGTCTGGCTGAGAGGTGAGGGACTCTGGGTGTTGGGGTAGGCCCAGGATGGAGGCTCCCCAGGGAGCAGGAGCTGGGCTGGGTTGGGGGTGTACAGCCAGATTGGATGCTAACTTCTCCCAGCATCACCACTCAGTCTGATCCTAGCATCCTCCAATGGCCATTGCTGTCTCTGAGAGGGCAGCCCTGACCTGTCCCGTGGGAGAATGGTCCTGACTGGGTCATCTTGCAGGTTAAGTAAGCACTGTGGGGATGGTGGGGACAGCGCCCAGTCCCAGCACAGCCGAGCAGCTCCTGCAGCTGCCTCTCCCTGGGGAAGTGTCCCCCAGACTGACAGATGGGGAGCAGTGAGAGGTGGGGTGTCCCAGCTCTGTCCAAGCTGTGCGAGTTCTGGGTGTGGATTGAGCCCCAAGGCACTGTCGTCTGCTGGCCACAAGAGGATAGGACGGGTCCCTGGACGGTGTGGGCCAGGGAGGGCAAGGGGCTGGCCCTGGGCGGGCTGGGACAATTCTGGAGACAGAGCCTCCTACAGAATGTCTCCGCTCCTGGGGCGCCCCCTGCTGCCTGCCTTGAAGACTGCAGCAGCTGGTGAGGGACCGGATGGTTTCCTGAACCTGAGCTGGCCAGTGGAGATAGAATCCAAGCCTCTACCACCTCCTCCCACACCCACCTCAGGGTGCCTCAGCAGCTGCCTGTGTCCCACCTGGTGTGCCCCTTCTCTGTACTCCCCCCGCTCCCACCAAGGCAGGGCTTAATGGATCAGGTCTGGGGTCCAGTCACTGTTTTGCCAAGTCCCACAGGCAGACTCTAACGGATATCTAGGCAGAATTGGCTGACCTTGCCAGTGCTTTCCTCTGGCCCGCTGAGCCTTGGTGTCCTCCAGGTGGGCAAACAGCCCGGGACAGAGGGAAGGGGCCGTAGGCTTTCACTGGAGGGAAGTATGGCTCCACCATACCCATTTATCCTCAATTAGACTTGATAATAAAATATCATTGCCCCCATTTTACAGACGAAGGGACTCAGGCTCAGGGAAGTGAAGAAGTTGGCCCAAAGTCACTGGGTTATGCTAACATGCACCTGGGGGCTGTTCTGGGCCCTGGAAGGGACTGTCCATCCCCCACCCCCAACCCCTGGACAAGGGCCTGCGTGTCTTACTCCCAGCACTGCCCCATGTCCATACCCCAGGACTGGTGCCATCCATGTGGGGGACCGTATCCTGGCCATCAACAACGTTAGCCTGAAGGGCCGGCCACTGAGCGAGGCCATCCACCTCCTGCAGATGGCCGGCGAGATCGTCACGCTGAAAATCAAGAAGCAGCTGGACCGTGAGCCTCACACCGCATCCTCGGGGCTGGCCATCCCGTCGGGGGTGGGAGGCACCCAGTGTCACCTCGCTGGTGTGTGACCGAGCCTGGGTGGGAGTGCTGTTCTTCATACCCCCTTTTAAGCACCCTCGTGTGCTCTGTGTGGCCCCAATTCACACATTAGTCCCATGAATATGTCTGTGGCCAGGTACACCTTTGAGGGTCTTTTGTCCAATCTAGGCCCCCTGAGCCTTAGTAGTCCCATCTATGAAGTGGGTTTGCTTCTGATGGTGCCACCTCCTATGTGTCAGCAGGCAGCTCAGTGCCTAGGAACTCTTAGCCTGCACTGAGGTATGGAAACTGGGCATCTGTATTCCAGGGCTGGAGGTGATGCCCCGCTTTCTCCTTCCAGGTCCCCTTGTACCCCGCAAATCGGGCAGCCTCAGCGAGGCCAGTGATGTGGACGAGGACCCTCCTGAGGCTCTCAAAGGCGTGCTGGCAGCCCCCTTCTCACCTGCTGTGCCCAGTGTGGACAGTGCTGTGGAATCGTGGGACAGCTCGGCCACGGAGGGAGGCTTTGGGGGCCCAGGTGACAGCCCAGGGACCTTGGATGGCAGTGTGCTCCCCCCATGCTGCCCGGCTAGCAGAGACTCCTTGCTCCTCCTGCCTGCCCTTTTCCATCTTGGGGACAGTGCCTGACAGAAAGCCTGGCATGCCCGCTGCGCCACTCCCAGGGCCCGTTGCTCTTCTCAGCACACACTGCAGCCCCATCTTCTGACGTGAAGTCCAGCCTTATGCTGGCCTTGCTTCTGCCTCCCTCTCTGGCACATGGAGCTGCTCTGCTGAAGACAGGGGGTTAGAGAGCCCCTTCTCACCCCGTCCCTCCCCTGCAGCTGAAGTTCGGGGTTCTCTGCCCTGTATATGCACATCAAGACCCCCAGGTGGCCTCCAGGGACCCTCAGTCAACAAGCCTGGTTCAGGGAACCAGTGGGGTGCAGCCTGTGGGGCTTTGGGTGACTCCTACCCTGTCCTGCATCAGTGGACACGTGCTGGCTTTGGGCCTTACGCCCCTGGTCAGTGTGTCTGCTTGCTATGGTGGGATCCACGGAACTGTCAAAGGTGGTGTGTTGGGGGTCGTGGAATCCTGACCTCCCTGCTCCACAGTCCCAGGCTAAAGGCATTGCTGTGTAAGCGTGAGTTCCTGGAGACTCCAAGAGGCGCAGACACCTGTCCGGGTGGACTGGGGCAGGGATGGTGGGGGGAGACAGAGGGATGCAGACATCCCCTCTCTGCCTGCCAGGTTCCTATACCCCAAAGGCTGTGGCCCGGGGCCTGAACCCCCAAGAGTGGAGGTCCCCTGGCCGGCTAAAAAGCAGCCCCCCGCCCACCGAGGCCCGGAGGAGCAGCTACACCCTGGGCCCTGCTGAAGAGAGCTTCCAGGAGGAGGAGGAGGAGGACTGGGAGGTGCCGACAAGGTTTGTGGTGGGAGTGATGTGCTGGAGGAAGCATGCGGGGGCCAAAGTGGGACAACGGGCATGGAAGGGTCATGGCTGGCCCCTGTGCAGGGGGTACCCGTGGGAGGGAGGGGAGATGTTGAGGGGACAGGCTGAGAGTGTGTCGGAGAGGCTGTTCCTGTTCTCAGGGACCCCCACACACCACCGAGTGGCCTGTCCTTCTCCATTCACCTGTCTGTCAGAATGGCTCAAGCCCCCAGCCTGCTGGAAACTTCTTTCCTGCGTAGAAGGAATCCCTGCCTTCTCCTCTTCCTGGTGCCCCTGGCTGGCTACCTATGTCTGATTGCCTGGTGGTTGTCGCTTCTATGGGTGGGCACCCATAGTTAGATGCCTAGTGTCTGTAGTCAGCTATTCTTGTGTTCTGAACAAATTACCAGCTGCTTAAGAACAGGGACCCCATCCTTACTCGTCTGGGTCTAGAGTTGACTGGAATGAGGCCTTCAGCCTCAGTGTACCGCCTGTGTAATGGGAAGGGAAGGAGACTGCTTGACCTTCAGAGGGTAAAAGACAACATGTTTTACAAGCCATAGCGTGCCTTGTAGCTACCCCTTGTCTGGGGACGCAAGTCACTGCTTCCTGGGCAGACGTGCGTAAATCCCCTGCAAACCCAGGCAGCTTTCCCCGGCACACATGTCCCACCCTCTCCATCTGTCTGTGTCCGTGCTGGCTTCGGCTCTATCCCTGTCCTGTGGTGCCATGTCTGGGTGGGGCCAGGGGTAGTCCTCTGGGGGCTGCACCATGGATCTCCTGTCTGTGCGTCTGTCTCTCTTCCCAGGCCTCCTGTGTCACCGCTGTCCACCCCGTCTCATCCGTCCCTGTTCTAACTGGCCGCCGACAGTCCTGGGTGCCCTAAACTGCGTCTTTTTCCCATTCTGTGTCACCAACCACTACCCCTGGGGCCCCAGCACTGCCACCGAGGACGCCCGCCCATCTGCCTGCCTGCCTGCCTGCTCACTGTCTGTCCACCCCAGAGTCCCTCAAGCCCAATGTGGGGCTTCGAAGACTCCTCAGGCCCCAGTCCACCTCCCCACCCACCCGCTGGCCAGAAGTTGACGCTGTGGTTCCTACGTTACAGCCCAGCCCCCGGCCCTGCCCGCGAGGAGGGCTTCTGGCGCGTGTTCGGGGAAGCCCTCGAGGACCTGGAGTCGTGTGGCCAGTCCGAGTTGCTGAGGGAGCTGGAGGTTGGTCCCCCCAAGCCTGGGCACATGTGAGGCTGTGCTGAGCATGCTGGGTGTGTGCTGATCGAGAGGATGGCACATCAAGGGTGTGTGTGTCTTGTGGGCACACGGGGCTTGTGTCTGCAGACGTGTGCGTCTTCATGCATGTGTCTGCCTGGAGCCCTTTGGGGCAGTATGTTTGCGTGGTATGTGGCTGTGGGTGTGCCCTGTGGAAGCGTGCGGGTGCTGATGGCATGGCAGAGAGGAGATGGCAGTTATGAACGGCCAGAGGGCAGCTGGGCTCTGGTGGGCTCAGCTCTGTCTGGGATGCCACGGGCTGCTCAAAGAGATGCAGCCGAGCCACTTCTGAAGCTGTTCCCATCCCAGCAGCGATTTGGTCTCCTTTAAAGCTTTGCTCTTTTGTGCTTTTGTCTCCCTTTTTCTTCCTAACATGTTTGATTCTTCTGATGTGGCTCGGTGTGAGTTTTATTTGTCTTACTAGAGACTTAGTCTGTGTTTTCAGTCTTCCCTTACCTGGCTTTCCATCGCACTCATTCTTTGGCTGCATTTCTTCTAATGTTTGCCCCATTCCTTAGATTCTGCGTTTCAATTTCTACATCTTTGTATCTATGGCTTCTCTTTCATCAACTATGTCTGCTCTCCCCTGCGATGCCATTGGCTTTGTTACTTTTCAGTGCATCTTAGAGTTGTTGCTTGTGATTTATTTCTAGCTCCCTGTGTGGGAATTTGCCCTCCTGCTCTGTCTGTGTCCAGGATGGGCTGTCTGATTTTGTCACTGCGCTTGCGGGCAGCTATGGTTACTTCCAAAGCAGCGCCCCTATGCTCTGTGCTGTTGAAACCCCTATGCGTTGCCTCCTCAGCGGTCCTTGCTGGGGCCTTTGAGCTTGCAGTTCCAGGTCAGTCTGACAGGAAGTTCTCAGCTCGGTGATTCTGCGTGATTGCAGAAGGTCACACTCGTGCCCGCACGCTATGCTGAGGTCATCACCAGTGCTTGACTCCGCTTCCTCCTGGGTGTCCTGCAGCTGGGCAGGTGTTTTCTGAGATGGCACGCCTCACTTCCTGCCTTGAGCCAGAGTTCTCTCTTCCCTGGGCTGCCTGTAGGCTAGCAGCCCCTTGGAGCAAGGGTTGCATTCCTGCCATTCCTGCTCATCCAACTTTTTCTTGCTTTGAGATTGTAATTTTTTTAAAGCTGTCATTCACCATCCATGTGTTTGGGAGGGAGCTTCTTGGACCAACCCGGTCTGCATCATAACTGAAGTCCCAACGCTGTGCAGTCCTAGAGGCCAGGGCTCTAATGTACCTGGCCTCCCTGCTTCTAATCGTAAGAGACCCTGTGACTGCATGATCCCGAGTCTCTGGTCTTTCCTCTGGCTCTCCAGGCAGGACAGGGCTAGTTACAAAGGCTCAACGCTTGCCTCCTTCCTGGTTCCCATCTTCCTCTCTTCTCCAACCTGGTGGTTCATTTGTAGGAGTTGTTGCCCCAGTCTTGGGGACAGTAGGATCACAGTAGGATCTCCTAGCCCAAAGTCAGATAAAACTGTGCCCATAGAGCATGCGCTTGGACATCATGGAGGGAGGAGAGACTTTGCTGGGCTGGAGTGGGTGCCCGTGACACTGGGGAGCTGGGTAATATGTGTGAGAAGCCCATCTTTCCACCCAGTGAGCCTGGCAGCCTCACCCCATTTCGGGTCACAGACTCCCTGTCTGGCTAGTACCAGGCCTGACTCAACCTACCCATCTCCAAGGATGCCAAGCCATTGACCTTGGACCTGTCATCATCCTGCTCCCCCTCCCTCTCACTGTCACCACTCTCGTCCCGACCATGGCTGTCTTTGACTTGGACAACCCCCTACTCCCTGTGGCGCTTCCCTCGCAGCCTGCATACCTGGTTCTGCAGCCCCCAGTCTGGAAGAACCTTCTAGAGCTATTCCTCTGTGTCTGTCCCTTTCCCTCCATGCATGGTCCCATGAGGTTTCCCTGTTGTTCTGGGATAATGTTCTTATCTCTGTATGCAGAGCCATGTAGGCCAGGCCCTTGCCCTCCCAGCCTCGTGCTACAGCCTGTGCCACCTGCAGGACCTTCATCCTAATCCTTCCCTCCACCGCGGCAGCCTGCTCCCAGCCTCCTCTTCCTCATCTCTCAGGTCTTGTCTGAGCTGTCATGCCGAGGTGGAGTGTCGGCACCTCCTGGGTGTCATGCCTGCCTTGGGCTCTTGTGTGTCTTCTGTGCCGTTCACCGTGATGTCTGATTTCACCTTGTGCGTGCTTGCAGCTGGCGACACAGCACTGTGCTGGGAGCTCCGACTCTGGAGCCAGCCTCTGTTTACTCAGATTGTGCCTGAGTTGTGATAACAAAATGACATCTTGGTGCGGAGTGCTGGGAGCGCAGAGTGGAAGCCAGCAAATCGTTACCCTTGTCCTTCTCCATCACTCTGACCTTGAAGGCTGCCACAGGAGGGTGTGGATGGTACGAGCAGCCAGGCATCTGAGAAAGGGCCGTCCGTGTCCCCGTAGGCCTCCATCATGACGGGTGCTGTGCAGAGTGTGGCTCTGGAGGGCAGGCCTGGCTGCCGGGCCCGGCCAAGGGGCCACGAGGTACATGCTTCCCCCCAGGAGGTGCAGGCGCTGCTGCCGCCAACACCTTTGGAGATGCACAAGGTAGGTGCTGTGGCAGCGGGTGCAGGAGGCCTGGGCCTGTGTCCTGGTGCTGCGAGGACCCACCAGGGCCTCCAGATTGGCCCCAGATCCCCGCTCCTCACGTGTTGTCCTCTCCCAACAGACTATTTGGGAATCTGGTCATCAGTTGTTTTTCAAAACTGTCCATGTTTAGATGATACACACACCTACTTGCAATGCATCATGGGCTATTATTTTTAAGTAGACTTATTTTCTCCACTGAAACGTGTGTGTATAGATGTGTACTTATGGTCATTTTTGCACAAGCAGGTACAAAGCTCATGTGTGTCAAGACATCTGAGTATCTGCATGGAAAGGTTTATGTGTGTGTATAAGGATTGTTCTAAAAGCTCATGGACAATGAAGTTGGAGAGGTTGGAAATCTGTGTGTGCCTATTTCTCTCAGCCTTCTCCTCCTTCACATGTCCTGTGGCCAAGAAGCCCGCCTGGCCTGTGTATAACCTAGACCCTGTGCAGCACATGACCTGGGAGTCAGCACTGCACTGTGCAGGAACCAGAGTGGCATCTGGCATCTGACGCCCTCCCCGCCCCGATGTCTCCTTGATGAAGGGGCTCCCTTGAGAGGGAGATGGAGCAGCGTGGAGCATAGGCTCACAGCTGGGAGTGGGCTGGCAGGTGGAGGCTAGACGTAGGGGTCCGGGCTGCAGTGGGAGGAGCCAGGGACAGAGGCCAGCACTCTTGGGACATCTTCCTCCTGCCCCAGGTGACCCTGCACAAGGACCCCGTGCGGGATGACTTTGGCTTCAGCGTGTCTGATGGCCTCCTGGAGAAGGGTGTCTACGTCCACACCGTGCGCCCCGATGGTCCTGCCCACCGTGGAGGCCTCCGGCCCTTCGACAGGATCCTCCAGGTACTGTGCTGGAGAGAGTGGGGGGCACTGCCGAGGGTGTGGCCTTGTTTTCCCTGAATGGGCTGGGAAAACAGCCCCACTTCTACCCATGGGAAGGGCAGGAGTTGAGTTAGGGCAGGCTGACTTATGTTGTGTCACTGGTTTCAGAAAGAACTTAGCACCTGTATGGCCTGTCCCTTGGGGGCTGGCGTGGGGCCCTTCCATCATGGTAGAGGACCTGCCCACCACAGAATTGCCCCTGCCACACACATCTGTCACAGTCCTTCATAGCCTGTTGGGCCAAAGTTGATCCTGTGATCTGCTTAGCTTGGCTGCAAGGGAGGCTGGGAAATGTCAGATCTCCCTGGCTTGGCCTCTGGTTATCAGTGACTTAGCTGTTTTTGCTCCCTCTATAGTCTGGGCCATGTTTAGGACAAATTTACTTCATTGTCTTTGGCTTAAAGGCTTTTTTTCAGCTTTATTTGGAAAGAAAATGTGCAACGTAGCAACGTGCATCCCACACCCCTCACTAGAGATGCCTTACATTGGATGTTACAGGGTACAGCCCTGCTGTCTGGGCAGGGTCTGTTACGGGAGACGGGTGTCCCAGGGACATGCTGTGTTCAACCTCGGGTGGAGATTACTCAGGAACAAGGCTGTGCTGAACACGTATACACCTTGCTCTGTATCAGTGTGGTGGAGCAGCAGTCAGTTTGTAACTGAACCTTGGAAGGTTCTGGTATCTTGGAAGGTGGGTAAGAGAGGACTTGGATAGGGGTGACCATACAGACACAGGACTTTGTCTTTATGACAGTAACACAAGAAGTGGGAGTTCAGCAAGGTGCAGATTGGTGTGTGTGTGTGTATGCACACACGTGTGCTTTGGTCTAGCCAACGGAGCTTGGCTCTAACTCCTCTGCTGTGCCCCGTGCAGGTCAACCACGTGCGCACGCGGGACTTCGACTGCTGCCTGGCGGTGCCACTGCTGGCGCAGGCAGGCCAAGTCCTGGAGCTGGTCATCAGCCGGAACCCAGTAGGGCGGGGCAGCCGGGCCTCGCGGGCACCAGGCCCCAGCAGCCCCCGGATGCTGTGAATAGCCCTGAGGGGCTGCTGGAGAGACTGTGGGCCAGAGAAGAGGCTACCCTTCTTCCATCTGAGGATCTGGCAGACTTGGAGTGGGCCTGGGCACTGTGGCCTGGCTCTGTGGTGTCTGGGTCTTCCCCAGGCTGAGGCTCCTGATGTCTGTGCCCAGGAACTGCTTGCCAGGATCTGGAGGAAACTTCCAGAGGCGTGTCCCTCTCCCTCGGCCCCCAAGGCTGGGAGCAGCTTCTCCCTGGGCTCCAGCGTTCTGGTGTTGGGGGCCTTTTGGAGTCCCCATGCTCCAGGGCCTGAGCCAAGGCACTTGGGACTGCAGGACAGGCCAGGTCCTTGATTCTCCAAAGTTGGAGAATCATGGCTTCAGCAGCTGTGCTGGAAGCTTCTGTGACTGCAGCTGCTGGACTGGGGTCTGTAGGGCAGGCTCAGGGTGGGGTGTGGAGTCTGCTCCTGGTGTAGGGGGTGGAGCCCTCTGAGAGGGGAGCAGGGGCAGGCAAAAGACCCGGGATGCTCCTCTCCCACAACCTGCCAAGGAGAGCTGGAAGACACGGGGATGGGGTAGCAGGTGGGCAGCTCTGGCTGCACCCATGTTCGTTTATGGAGGAAGAGATGCCAAGAGGAGAGCCAGAGCAGAAGCCAAGTGAAGGCAGGCACTGGGACTCTGTCATGCTGGTGGAGACAGCATTCACGTGTCCCTCATGGGAGCAGTGGGTCTGGCCGCACCAGTGTGTCCCTTCAGCTCATCTGCTTTGCTCCATAAACTCAAGGTTTTGGTGTGGGGAAGGCAGAGCCCTACTTTGTAGTCTGGGGTATAGTCCCCAGCCCAGATGTAGAAAGGGTCTCAGGAAAATATGGGGTGCCTCCTCCATCCTTTTTCCACCCCAATCCCTGCTCCTTCAACCTCTGGTCAGAGTCTGCGCAGAGCCAGGCTTCCCCGAGTCCCCTCTGGGTCCCCTATCACCCCCTACCACTCCCCACTGAACCCCGAGCCCTCCTGAAGATTTTGCTCAGCCATGGGTAGGATGCCCAGTGTCTCAACTGACTCGTGTCCTTGGGCAAATGCCCACCTCACGAGGAGGGGTCACCACCTGCCTGTCAGAGGGGCAGCCAGCAGAATCAAGAGCTCTGGATCTCAGGGGCTGGAGCAGCCACACGTGGCACGTTGGACAGGTGGCTCAGCCTCTCGGGGCCTCTGGTGTGACAGGGCTGGACTGGGCGTACTCTCAGGGCCTCTTGGCCTAGGACAGCTGTGTCGGACTCCAGGTGGGGAGGCAATCCAGGCTGGACCCCCAACCCCCTCCAGAGGCTTCTGCTGCCCCCTGACTCAGGCCTCTGGGGGAGCTGCCGGAATTCTCATATGCAATAGTTCTCCTGACTTCTCCCGGGGATGCTCCTCCCAACTCCCACATTCCCCCCCCCTCCCTGCTGAGTGTCCTGCCTGCCTATGCATTTCTGGTGCAGCCCCTGTGCCACCCCTGCACCCCCTCCCAAAGTGGTATTTTTCTCTGGCTGCGATTAGAGAACATCCTTGTAAAGTATTTTTCTACATGGGATTTTCTTAGGACTCCCAGCAAGCACAAGGTACCCAGGGGCTGCATGGCAGGGGCTGGCTATGGTCTGTCCATCTTTTTCCCAACATGGGGTGCGGTGACTTGGGGGTGCTATTGAGATTTTTTAAAAATAAAATCACGTAAATGCACTCGCAGTAGGCTGTTTACTTTGAGATGACAAAGGAGGTAGCTCACATGTGGAGTTGGTAGCATCTGACCTGCTATTAACTCACATGGGTATTTGGAGTCCTTCCTCCATTGGACACAGCCCAATGAATAAGAAAGTCCCAAGGCTGGAGCTGCGGGCCCATGAGGGCATGGACTGGGGCAGGGCCCCCATCCTGTATGCCGGGGAAGCCACAGAGGCAGAAGGGAGTCCTTCTAGCTACTATTGCTGGTGGGTGCCCATGGCAAGGGGAGCCAGGTATCCTGGGGCCCAGAGCCCTGTGTGGGTGGAGGAAGAGTTGCCCCTGGCTGTGCAGCCCAGGAGTGAACATCCTGTCTCAGGAGGGCTGGGAGGGGGAGGCGGGGAGGCAGCCGCACTGCTACGGCATGGCTGCTCGGGGTGTGAATTGGCCGAGTCCAGCCTTCAGGGTGGGCTCCAGTGCCTCCTAAGGTAGACGGGTCACACAGATAGTGGGGATGGGTTTTATCCTAGCAGTGTACACAGGAAGAACAATTTCACCTGAAAAGACTTCCGGCTGTGGAGCTGGTTGGTGGAAAGGCCATCCACAGACCCTGAGCTGCCCGTGGTCCTGAGATCCCTAAGAGGACGCAGAGCCAACTGCACCTGCTGGGGTTGGGAGGTGGAGGAGAAAGGCCGGCAGGTTAGTACTCCCTCCATCTTGCCCTGCCAGCCTCCCACGCCTCCAGCCGGATGACTCTGGGCTGGAAATGGGATAAGGAGGCACAGTGGGTGAGTGCCTGCGACTCACCTTTAGTCTTGTGGGCCAACAGCTCGGTCCAGGTGGCGGATCTCTGGGTTGCAGAATCAGAACGACCAGCCCAAGCAGACCCAGGAGCCCTGGGTGTGAATCCTGACTTCGCCAGCACTTCTGGAATACCCCTAAGCCCAGGACCCAAGATGCTCTGAAACCCAAAACCGCCTGGATACTGGCATGAACCATAAGTGGGACAGATCACACTGAAGGCAGTTACACAGACCCCTCGGGCCACGGACGCACATGAACTTGGTGTCTTGGTTCAGGTCCCATCCCCAAGATACATCACGATGTGTATGCACACATTCCAAACTCCGTCACCAATCCGGAACCTACTTCCGGTCAGGGCTGCCTGGCCTGCCAGCCCCACCTCCAAGGGACATCGACTCCCTCGCCCAAACAAAACACACACGTTGGACTTTAAAAAGGAAATGTTTATTTTCATGTTACAAGGTGATTACAAACTCCTCTAAAAAAAAAGCAAAGATGAATTTAAAATATCAATATATAGATTTATCTAAAAAGCAAGAGGGAAAACCACCCCTGTGAAACACAGGATTCCGTGTCATGAAACATGGCTATGTCAGAGCTCGGGACGCCAAGACTGGCTCGCCCACCCCCCCGGGTCTTGTTCGCACACATGTACTCCTCCCCCCAAGAGTCCATAGTGAGTTGGTTTGTATTTCTTTACAAAAGTTTAAAATCTCTTAAAAATACTCTGAAGCTTAAAAAAATGTCCTGATGAACCAGACATATTTCCGGAAGGAGGCAAGACCCACGTTCTCAGCTTTCTCTTGTGCTAAATATAGAGTCACAGTCGTTAGGGACTAGGGGACAAATTAAGGGAAAAGCAAAGAAATGGAGTTCAAGTGAAGTCAAATCTATCACCAGGCGGGCCTCCCTCAGGGACAGTGTCGGAACACCCACAGAGAACAATGGGGACCACTTCCTATTGACACAGGTATTTCTGAGAGTCACACATTGGGCGGGGGCGGGAGGCTGTCCCTTGACCTGGGGTTGCCCACTGCTCTTGGAGCTGGGAGCCCTGGGTTTTGTTAGGTTTGTACGCAAGAGGCGTTTGCACACAGTGGCATCCATGGCAGCCCGGCGGCCACCTGGCCCTGGGTCTGAGGATGGATGGGACCTTGGCGGAGAGGGGAGCGGTCCCTTCCTAGCTGTGTCTGAGCCTGGCTGCGCACAGCATTCCCCTTCAGGAGGGGGCAGTGCTGGCAGGGCCACTGGCCGTTATACAGTGGCACGTGGCTGGCACAGTGCCCTAGTCAGGCTGAGGGTATACTCTGCTACATCTCAGGTTCAGGGGGTGCTGAGGATACAGGGAAGGAGAGCAGAGGAGAGGAGAGGCTGTGAAAAATCACCCAAAGCTACTTCCTGGGGCCTGGTCATTTCCCAGGTAGCCTTGAGCTGCATTTGGAGCAGGCCTCAGGCACCTCTTGGGTGGACAGGGCTCTCATTTCCTAGCCTACCAAGGCTGTGGGGAAAGAGAGGGGCCCTTGGTGGGACCCTGGCGAGCAAGTGCTCCAGCCGCCTACCTGCAGCCCGAAGCACCCTTTTCGCTTGTGGGGTTGGCCCAGAGCGTTAGGGCACCACAGTTCCTTGATGACCAAGGCTGTTGATTGTCAGGGGGGATCAGACCAAGATCTCCTGGGTGGTCGCACCTGTAACTCACTGCTCACCCTTGGGAGAACCTGCAGAACAAGTCCTGGTCCAAACTTGATTCACGGAGCCAGAGGCCCCGCTCTGCTCTGGGACTTGGCTACCCCAAGCGACAAGGAGCCTGTTGGGTTGGGGCACCCCCACTACAGAGGGGACCCGACTTGGGGAAGCAGTAGCAGCCCCTAGGCCCTCAATCCTGCCTTTTCACCTTAAAAGTAACCACTTCGCTAGCCTCCTTTATCCAGATCTGGCTCACCAGGCTATGTGTGGGCATCTAAATTTCACACCCCTCCCAAGTACAGGGCAGGCAGGGTCTTGCCCATTCTCAGGGCATGGGGACCAGAGTCAGAGCTCAAATGCAAAGTTCCATTTAAAAGGAGACACACACAAGTCATCACACATCAGGCTCACAGAGCCACGCTCTGCACACACACGGGAGCCAAGACAGGTGCTTGGGGCTTGGGAAGACGGAGCTTGGGCCAGCAGTTGACCCCTTCACCTTGCGGGGTCTGGGGACTTGGTCTGTGTGTCTTTGGTCTAGGATTTGGTCTGGGAAATCTTAAAAGAGACCTTTCTCAGGCCACTCCCAGAAAATTGAGGTCTGCCTTGCTAACCCGGATACCCCGCAGCTTTTATTGCAGGTGTGAGGCTTCCCCGCAGAGAGGGGACCTGAGGACCAAAATGACCACAAATGCCCTGGTAGCCTCTGCTTGCCCAGCCTCCTGCCCATGCAGCACCTGTCTTTCTCCACCAGGACTGGTTAGTTTACTAAAGTTCCCTAAGACATACAGGTCACGTCGCTACACGGTACAAAGAACCAAGAGATAGTCAGGCAGACATAGAGGCACCCACAAGTACCAGGGGGACAGGAGAGCAGTGCAGCTGCCCAGGCTCGAGGACAGGACTGGCGCTCTGGCCGAGAGGGGCCGGCTTTGGCAGTGGAGCATGTACATTGGCCAGAGATGGGGGAGGTTGGGATTGCCCCATGGAAGGGCCCCCCACCCAAGGCTCCTCCCTGCCCCCAACACTGGGGAGGGGGCTTCCACAGGCCCTGCTCTGCATGTGTTAAGTCAAAACTCCCTGGTCCCCGTCCTCACAGTGGTCCCTGCTTTGCAAGGAAAGATGGTTTCCTTTTGCTCCCACTCTGAACTCTTCACGGCTGTTCAAATGGCACAGTTTAGGTCCAACACACTGGTGGTCTGCGAGTGGGATCTTAAAGGCGTAGGACCCCTCAGTCCTGGTTCTAACAGGGACCCGGTTCTGGTGACCAGCTTGGGGTGTCAGCCCCTACCCTGGGTTTTCCCAGCCATGTAGTCTCAGTCTCCAGGCAGTAAACTGTCTGACCTCAGCTACTACAGGGAACAGAAACAAGGGCCTTTCTTAGGGCCCAAGTCACTGTTGCAAGCTGCCCTTGGGCCTGAACTTGGAGGGGCCTGGGGACTGCTAAGTCCACAAGCCAGCTTTGAGCCCCGAAGCTGCTCTTGGCGCTGGGACAGCCTTGGGCTCTGTCTGGCTTCACCCTGTCCTGCATCAGCCTGCTGAGGCACCCGGGCCACATCCTTTGATCCCTTCGCCTCCACCTCGCCCTTGGCCCCCAACAAACTCATCATGCACGGGGGAACAATCACAGCTGTGACAACCCCGTTCTGACACCATGACATGTGGGGTACTGATCCCCGAGGCTGCCTGCAGCATCCCAGGAAGGATCCTGGCCTCGTCCACCTCTCCTGAGGGTGAGCACCAAGTCTTGGGATGGACCCCAAGCCTGGACCCCTAGGACTGCTCGCTGGGCTCCCCAGGAACTGCAGTGTGGGTGGTCCTGCTGAGGAGTCAGCCACAGGGGCTCAGGATGACAGCTCTCTCTGCCCCACACCCTCAGCGGAGCCTGGTCCCCAGCTCCCCGGCCTGTCCATGAGAGGAGATGAGCCTTCGGCTTCTCTGCTCAGCTACAACAAGTGCAGGAGTGAGGCTGCCCATGGCCCTGCTCTCCGGTGCCCCAGCTGGCAGGGCCCTATCCCCTGCAGCGGGCTTCCCAGGAACCAGGCTTTGGGAGGTGCTACGCCTTTAAGGTGGGTTTGCCGTCCCAGCAAGAGGCAGCCCTGTGGTCCGGCAGAGCCTTCAGCCAGCGCCAGGAGCACCGTAGAAAGGATTGCTTTTGGGAACAAGATCTATTGCTGGCAAGATCAAGCCGAGTGGTCAGAGTACAACAATTCCTAAGCTGATACAGTCACGTGTTAAAAAACAATACAAAGAAGAATTGACCGAGTTCCCAGAAAATACATCTAATTCAGTATGAAAGCTCTGGCCTGGCCCCAGACGGCTGCCCATGGGGTTTCTTTTTGTATAAAGTATCCCCAAATAATCACCACACGCAACATGCACACACACACGCATACACACAGAACATACACACAGAGTAACATTTTCCTGTGACAATTAAAAAAAAAAAATCCTAGTGCAAATATAGAGCTCTGTAAACCTGGTCCTAGGAGAATCTAATGTTAGTAAACAGCAGGGAAGCGGCCGCGCCCGAGGAAGGCTCACATCATGGTCTCCACAACGATGTGGGTGGGCTTCATGAGCGCACCGTTGAGAGACAGGCGGGACCTGTAGGGCTGGGCCCCCTCCGTCTCCACTGCCCAGCGGTTGGGTTCCCTCGGGGTCAGCAGGTACTTGATTCTCTGCAGAAGGAAGGTAGGGAGGGGTCGTCAGGCAGGTGTTTGCTCCTGGTGCCTCCCCCTCCCCCGCACCCTTGTGCCGCTGGGTCCTCTGCAGATGCCTGGCATCATTGGAACTCCTATCCCGTGCTTTCTGGAAATAAGAAGTCACCCCTCTCACCCCTGCCCCCAGTTCTGACTCAGGGCACAGGTCTGTTGACCAAGCCCTGATGACACAGCCCCAGGAAGCGGATCCAGAACCTCCATCCACACAGTTCTTTCTCCCTTAGAATCTGTGCTTGACTTCCCTGACTTCATAACAGTTGAGTTTCTGCAGCTGGTATGCGGGCCAGAGGATGGCAGGGCTACCCTAAGCCTTCTGTGGCTCCTGCCTTCTCACAGCATGGCCTGTGGGCTCAGGTGTGGGCTGCACCTGCCTCCCCATCCCTCCTCGAGAGAGCTGTGGGGACTGTAGGTCTGGCCGGGGCTGCTCACCTGGGCAGCCACTTCTGTCCCCCAAGCTGCTTCCTGCTCAGTCAGTCAGTCTAGGGGTCCTCCCCAGGGACACCAGGCAAAGTCCATGGCAGCACTCAGGCCTCCTGCCCACCCTGCCCAGCCCTGCTTCTGCCAAGTGCCCAGAGATGTCAATAGGACACAGGTGCTAAGCCCAAGAGCTGCTTCCCCGAGCAGCTGCGCCCAACTTAGGGGTGCAGGGTACAGGTGCTGCTTAGGGAGAGCCACCGTGCCCCATCTACATGCCCAGATGGCCACCTTCCCTCAGAAGATCTGGCCATCCCTGGCCCCACCCTGCTGGTCACTGGCACCACTTCTCAGGCCAGGGCTGTAATGTGGACTCGGTTGCCTTGTTGGGGTGCTCCCAGCCCCAGTGGAGTGGCTCCGCTTTCCTGAGTCACCTCCTGCTCCCCCATCATCAGGTGGCCAAGAGGCAGTGCTATGAGGCTCGGGCTATGTGGGAGGCTCAGCCCGGGCTGGGGGTGCAGTGGGGTGCAGAGCAGGGTTTGCCAGAGCTTGGACTGGGAGGCCACTTCGGCAACATGAGGAACATGTGGGGACAGAGAGAGAAGATGCTGAGCCACCTTCGGAGGAGTGTGTAAGCGGGGGGAGGGGATGTCCATGCCCGCCCATGTCCCCTCCTCTCTCATGCCAACCCTGCTCAGAAACTGAACAATTACTCTAAAATGAGGCTTTGAAGGGAGACTAAGTTAGCGACCCCCTCGCCAGCACAGCATTGCTAAGGGCACTGGCCAAGCAAAACAGGCCTCCGGAGACCCACCCCCTGCCGCTGTGCTCAGTGAACATGGTGGCCGTGCAGGGCTGGGTGGGCATGGGGTCCTAGGGGCCTTGGCTGTGGCTGTAGCCCATGTGTCTATCCATCCAGTGCTTTAGTATGTGGAGGAGCTATGGCGCCACTCAGCGCCCTGGCGGGACACGGGTCTTGCCCGGACGTGGCCCTCCCCATGCACACAGGGGCTCCGTGGCCCTGCCTCTTCCTCTATCCCCTCTCCCCTGCCAAGGACACCTCCAAGCAGAGGAAACAGACCCAGCCCAGGGGGGAGCTAGCGCTCCAGGACATCCTGGCTCCAGCGGTTTTAAAAAGCGAACAACAATGAAGATGACCTAGAACAAAGCAACACAGCCCTGGAACCAGCCCAAGCCCGCAGGGTCAGGGAGATTCTGAGAAAATTGTTTCTTGGAAAGCGTTCCCTTCCACCAGTGCCTGCCTAGCTGGTGGGAGGTGAGGTGAGGCTGGGGGAGGCATTTCTGAGGGTCCCAGTCCAGAAAGAGTCTGGCCTTAGCTGACCTCTGGCTGTGGGCCTCTGGATGCGGGCCTCTGGATGCAGTCCAGGCCTCCTTCCCAGCACACACAGAAGACCCCTTGCTGCTAAGCGAAGCCCCCAGCTCAGCCTCAGTGTGTGGAAGGCCACACAGCACCAGCTTCCCCCACCTGGGCCCCCTGCTCACCACAAGGAAGGGTCCCTCCGTCTGGCAGAGGCGGATGACAATGACCAGGGGGATGCACACCATTGAGGACAGGGCCAGGCACCAGCCCAGCCCGATGGCCCAGTCCGGGTACACGTAGACTTTGTTGTAGGTCAGGGGCACGTACTTGACGAGCGAGAAGACAAAACATCCCTGTGGGGAGAAGGTGGTGCTCAGAGGGCTCGGGTCCCACCCAGCAGGAGGACCCCTCCAGCCCCACGGCTCGAGACTGCAGGACACGGGCCGAGCCCCCACCCCCACCCTGAAACCCTGCGGGCTCTTCAGCCACTCGTTCCAGGGCCTCAGCACCGGCTGCTCTCTGGCGGAGTCCTCTCCCCCTCTGCTCCCTCCTACATCAGCTCCCTACTTCAGAAACCCACCCGCACAAACCTCTTCCTGCACGGTTGTAGATGTGCACCCCCCCAACACCCTCTGAATCTCTGGCACCCCCATTTCTGCGACAGCAGGTATAGCTCCAGGAACAATAAATGCAGGTGGCCACCAAGGCATCCCCAGCTGCGGGCAGCAGAGTGGGTGTCAGGCTCAGTCCAGGACAGGGAGAGGACTCAGCCTTGCGGCTCAGAGGGTCGCCTGGCGCTGTCTTCCTCTGAGCAGAGTGCCAAGGGGCTCTGCCACTCGGGCTGGATCGACAATAGGAGTTGTGTGGCAGCAAAGCTGTTTAGAAAGTCATGTTGCTGAGGGGAGGGAGGGGCCTTCTCCTGGGCAGCTCCGCAGGCCTGGCCCTGCCGGGGAGGTCGGGATAGATGGCTCCCTTAGAAGCCGGTCTGGGCTCAGCCCAGCACAAGGCAGCTGCACCCCTCCCCTGCCCCGGGGACCCGACCTGCCCACGTCACACTCCTCTTCCACGAGGGGGATTCGTCCCTGCACTCGGACGCAGCCTCTCTCTGATCCACCCAACTCCTCGGGGAGGCAGAGAAGGAGACGCAGGGTCACAGTGCTGAGAGGAGGAGCTGCCCAGGAACAAACAGCAAGTGAGAGCCAGAACCTGAGCTGTAGCCCCACCAAGAGCCACTGCGCTGGGGAGGGTGCTGGCTGCCGCGGTCCCCTGGCAGGGGAGGCCCCCACCCGGACACACGGCAGTGCTTGTCTAGCATCTCCTGAGGCCCAGGGAGGGGAGGGACTTGCTGCAGGTGCAGGCAGAGTTAGTGGCAGTGTGGACTCATCCAGTCTGGAGTAGAAACCACTAGGTCAGCCTCACCAAGCACCTGCTCCCAAACCCAAGGAGGCTTCTGCTACATGTGCTGCCTGTGGCCTGAACTGGCCAGCGCAGGCCAGATGCTGAGGGCCCCCCCAACGGAGCTCACATAGGCTTTATGCCCCCAAGGCTCAGCAGCTGCAGCTGCCAAGGCCAACTTGGTGCTGGTGGGCAAAGGAGCCTTGGTGGGACGGGCATGGTGGCCCCGGGCCCTGCCCTACCTTTCCTGCCCCTGGGAAAGCCAAGAGTATCATGGCGGGCGTCCCCTCTAAGCCACTCTCCCACTCTCCATGGTTTCAACCTGCTCTCAACTCAGCAGTTCCCCAACCAAGCTCCTTGACTTAACCAGGGATGCCCAGGAGTTCTGGGAGGGGCTGGGAGCAGGGTGAGCTGGGGAGCTGTGCTTCCCCAGTACGGCTTCCCTGACTCCTCATCCACTCGGGCCCTGCCGCCTCTGGCAGAAGGCCTTGGCCATGCCCGGGCTGGTTCCTCCACCAGGAACACCTGCCCACCTCGACTCTGGGTGGCCCTGGAACAGCCTGCCCCGCCTCTCCTGGGCGGGCAGCACTGAGCTGCCTCACAGGTGCTCGGGCAGGTGGACGTGTCAGGCCCCTGAGAACTCACAACGCAGAGGACGGGGGTGATCACAGCCCAGCTGTACTTCATCCAGGGCCCGGGCCGATAGCCGATCATGTCCTCTATACCGTCATAAAAGTCATCACCGCCTGTGGGGACAGAGGGGCACCGTGGTGACACAGCAGCTGAGAGCAGTAGTGGCCCCGGGGAACGGCTGGGCACCCACTTGGGGTTTGAGCCACCAGATCCTGTAGACCAAGTGTGGCACATGTTTGAAGTTTTCTGAAGTCAAATGCAACTGGACATCTCATGCTTGTTTGGCAACCTTAAGTAGACTCTGAATCCTAGCATGGTCAAGCCGAGGCCTCAAGGAAGTGCAAACAGACTTTTTCTGAACCCTGGAGTGGGCACAGACAGACCCCCGGGCGTGACTGGGTTCTGTGCTTGTCAAACACATGGGCACAGTGGGAGGACCCGTAGTGTGACTGTGGTGACATGGCTTGTGTGGATGCCAGGCCTGGAGAGAAGCAGCCAGGAGGGCCTTTGCTTTGGAATGATTCCCACGAGCACCGCCTGCTCCGGAAGCCCCAAGGAGAATGTGAGAAATATACAGCGATCTATACTCACCATAGATCCAGGCAATTACAAAACATTCAAAGAATGCAACCCACAGAAGGCATACACCACTAGCTGCATAGTAGTCAAAGAGTTGAAACACATACATGCCACCCTGCGGGGGGAGAGAACAAGAGAAGGCCTATTGGTGCCTTGGTCTGCAATTCCCTTCCCATGCAAAGAGCTCCGGTACATCAACAAGACGAGCAAAATGGGCAGAGGTTCTGATGAGATACAGATGAATGCATTTTTCAAGAGGCTCTACCTTGGCTTTGACGACAGGTCAGACACAAACACGGAAAACCAAGAGCAAACACATCTTGGCAACATCAAGTTGGCCCGTAAAGGCGGTGCTTGGAGCCAAGTGTGGCCCACACAGAAGTTTCGGGGATGTCAGCTGCTTGGGGCGTGGGCTGCTTTTCTAACGACACCTCCCTGGTAGAAGGGGTAAGCCAGGGGCAGTGCTGAACCTGACCGCTTGCTCAAGAACATGGGTAGCAGGCGAGGTTGTGTGCAGGGCAGGGCTTAGGCTGCCTTGCACAGGCCCCTCTGCATGCTCTGGCTGGCCACCTGTGAGCTGCACCCACTGCTGCGCCCTTCTGTTCTTGGCAATTGGAAGCAACCCTCCTCGCGCCTCCCTGCCCACCCTCTGAATAGTATGTGCCACCTGCACATGACCTGGGAAGGGCTTTGGCACACAGCTACAAGCAGACAGGGCTGAAGGTTCCCCCCCCTTCCCCTTCTGCAGGCCCCTGGGGAACAGCAGGCAATCATGGCCAGCATATTGCCATGGCAACTGGTAGGAAGAGCAGGGCAGTTTGGAGGGGGAATGGAGCCAGACCCACGTCAACAGCAGGTGCCAGGCCTTTGCTGTGCTGTCGCCGCTATGGGCCCCAATGGCCTGCTCAGAACAGAACTCTAACATGGGTGGGACTGGGGCACGAGCACATCCTGGCCCTCTCAGCCAGCTGCTGCCCCTAAGCAGGGCCCTTGGGACCCTGATCGTGTGGGGGCGGGGGGCGGAAGGCAAGGCAGCCACCTACCTCCGTCACCATCGTCAGCCCCAGCAGGTAGCTGATGCTACACACGATGGCGATGAAGATTTCCCGACGATAACCCTTCCTTAGGAAGGATGGGTAAAGATCAACCAAGGATGTGATCTGTCCTTCGACTTCAACAAACTGCAGAGGGGAAGAGGACAAGGTCAGGCTGGACAGCAGAGGACCACACTCACACGCCAGGAACGCATCGGTCGTAAGGAGCAAGGAGCAGCAAGCCGGGCTCAGGGCTGGCCTCACCCCTGACCCTGCCAAGCCAGTCCCTATGCTATGCAGTGCCCCTGCAGCCCGCCAAGAATGCCACTCCTGCAGCTGTGTGCAGGCTATCCCTGTTGCTGGAAAGCCATTCTCTCAGCACCAAGACTTAAAGCTCAGGCTGACCCACTGCCCTGGTTTGCTAGGTGTCGTCATGACACCTCCCTCCCCCTTCTTTGGTCTTGTCCTCTCTGAGGCCTGGGGGCAGCAGAGCCCAGGCAGACTTGGCTGCTACTTGATTGTGCCCAGTGAGTGGACCTCAGCCGCCCCTGCTGCCCGTAGGCCCGAGTTCAGGTGTGGCTCACAGCGCAGTGTGTAACCCCCAGGGCATCTTGGGCTCCTGAGAGTGTGAGCCACAAGCTGCTTGCCACTCCAGGGCCCAGCCCTGTCCCCTGGAGGGTGATCCGGGAAGGACCCCCAAGATCCCCAGCCTTCCTCTGTGCTAGAGTGGATCTGAGACTGCTCACATCACAACCTCAAGACAGCCTCCTTTTCAAAACCATGGCCTAGGGACTGTGTGCTGGTCCAGTGGGTTAAGCCTGCTGTGATGCTGGTTCAAGTCCTGGCTGCTCCATTTCCAATCCAGCTCCCTGCCCATATGCCTGGCCAAGCAGAAGAGGATGGCCCCTGCCATGCACATGGGATGGAGCTCCAGGCTCCTAGCTTTGGCCTGGTCCAGCCAGCTCCTGGCTGCTGCAGCCATCCGGGGGACAGGCTGGGTGTGGAAGATTCCTGGCCTTCTCTGTTGCTTTGCTTTTCAAAGTAAAAACATCTTTTCGAAACAACTAACAATGGCTTAAAACACCACCCTATGGACAGAGTTCATGGTGGCCCCAGCAACACCCCAGCAAGGTTTCTGGGCTGCTGCTGCCTCCCAGGCCTTCAGGAGCACGTACGTGTGGATGGGCCGCCACGGCAGGCATGGCTTCAAAGTGAAAGACTGGGATGGACGTGCAGCCGAGCAGCCCACACACCCCCATCAGCACGCTTGAGTTTTGGCCCCAGCTTCCTGCTGGCGCAGCCCCGCAAGGGAGCAGCCATGGCTCAGGCAATCGTGATCCTGAGTACCCGGCTGCTGGCTTGAGCCTAGTGGGCCCAGTAGGGCCCAGTGCAGGATTTGGAAAAGAGAGCCAGGAAGCAGGGACTTCCTCTCTTTCTCTTTCCCTCTGATTCCCAAATAAACAGATTGAAAACCCATTCTGGGAGTGCTGCACCCCAACAGTCCTGCCAGCAGCGCAGTGTCTGAGGCCCACGCAGCTGCTGCCGACAGTGGAGCAGCTCAACACACACCGTCCACAGGGCCATGTCAGAGGGGCACTGGGGAGCGAGTGCCCACGAGGCTGGAGGGGGGCCCCAGGGGCAGGGGTGGACTTGTTGGGCACTCCCCACAAGCTGAAGCGGTTTTGCATCTGAACTTTGAGTGCCAGAGCCAAGCCATGACCCAGCGCCAAGATTCAAGTGTAAAGAAACACACACAGTGCTTTCCTTTTCCAGATGGGGGAGTTATAGCAAGACAACTCCACGTTGCTGGGAAGCCCACAAATCCTGTCTTGCCCAAGCTTCCTGCACTTCTGGGGGATAACCAGTGCCCCAACTCGCAAAGTTCTCCAGACTTCGCTGGTTTCACAACCCCTGAGGGCTGACACCTCAATTTGAGCCTCAATTTGCCAGGCAGGGTCATGGAGAAAGATGGAACATTATTTGGGCTCATGGCAGCTGGGCCACTCTTGGCACCAGAATCCGGACTTGACTGGGATGGGTAGGGAGTCTGCCACTCCTCCCTGTGCTGTCTGCTCATAGACCGTGTCCCCTGGGGATGGTCCCAGAGTAACAGGTGCCTGCCTCCACCTCGGTTCCAGGGTTCCTCACCCTGGCTCACCTAACCCTGTGCAATGGGGTGACAGCTCCTAAGCCAAGAGCGAGGTCACAGAGGACGTGGCTCTGAGTCCAAAGGGATGGCTCTGGGGGACAGGCAGACCAAGCATGGCCTCGCTAAGCCGTCACAAGGGTCATAGCCATTGCCAGGTATTGTGACACAGAAGGTGGCTAAGCTCAAAGAGCTGTGTGCCAGGCAGGGCAGGGGGGCGGAAGACTCACGGACAAGGGGCACAGTGTCTGGGTGTGGGAACACAGGAAGGTTCTGGGGGCACAGGTTGGCAATGGTGGCATGGGAATGGCTTTCTCCTGTGAGCATGGTCCCTGAGCAAGGCAAAATGGCAGCTCTGAGGCTCGGTGCCTTCATCAGCCTAGCATGAGAGCTGGCGGTGCCCTAGCAGGTGCTACTTGCCACCATCCGCGTGACCTCCATGCCCTCTCTGTTTCCCCGAGTTCACCCAGCAAACACAGGCTGGATTGTACAGCAGACTCCTGTCGCCCGTGAGTCCAAGGATTCAGGTTTCATGCCTGCTTCCGGCTTGATTTTCAATAGGCAGGCTCACTTAGCCACTGTATGTGGAGTCCTGGCCCCAGAGCAATGCTGCAAGCGTGCTGGTCGCTCAGCCCAGCGAGCGTGTGTCCCCCGAGGAGTGGCCTCCTCGGCTTGTGCAGGAAGTGCTTCCTGAAGCCCACCGAGATGTCAGCCACCTCAGCTCTTAACCTCTGCTTTTCGTGTTTTGCTTTGTTTTGTTTTGTTTTTCTTTCACTTAAGACTCTGGAAGAAGGAACAAAAGCCTTTTGCTTGGGGCCTCCGGAGGCCAAACTCATTAGCTCTGGATGATTAAGGAGTCCTCTTGCTTGTTTACACAGCTCAAGCCCATCAGCAACCACACAAGTATTTTGTTTTCCCTCTCCCAAATGTTATCAGTCTTCTCGGCTAATCCTGGCCCCCCTCCTGCCAAGTCCTCCGCTCTGATCTTGCCCTTGCTAGCCAACCTCCTTCTCCTCTCTCTGCGCCCTCTCTCCTTCCAAGACCTCCCTCCTGCTCACTCCCGAGTCCCAGGGGAACTGCCCTGGACAATAGCTTTGGAAGCAGCAGCCCTTGTGGAGGGCGGCCCAGCTGAGCGATGGACTCCTGGTGGGAGAGGCAGCCTCCCCTCCCCCTGACCCAGATGGCACAATGACTGGCTGGACACATGCCCCCTACACTTGTGCACTCACAGCCCCCTTCTTGAGCCCTGCCAGAGCACCCGCTGTCACCCCAACAGGGTCAGGACAGGTATGAGTACACCTGTCCTCCAGAGGAGGAAGCCGGGACTCCCCGCAAGGATGCTTGAACACAGAAGCTGTGGGCATGAGGGGTTGAACCCCCTAAACTTAGCGAAGGGGCAGGCTCTCCCCTGTCATCTCGCTCGCACTTACCTGGCTATCCAGTCCAAGCAAGAGAAGCATAATAAAAAAGAGAATGGACCAAAAGGTGGGCAGAGGCATCATGGTCACGGCTTTTGGGTAGGCGATGAAGGCCAGGCCAGGACCTAGATGGGAGAGAAAATGGGAGGGGCACAAGGGAAGGGAGGCTCATCAGTGACGCAACCCAGGTAGGTAGCAGGGCACCTGCAGACGCTGGCGCCCGGCACGGCCCCCCAAACCCCAGTGCAGGGAGGAGCTAACCCTGAACCCCAGCCTGGGGGACGAAACCAGGGCCAGGCCTGGCTTGCTGCCCCATCGGTCAAGCTGGGGCTCAGGTGGGGTTCTGCTTTGGCATGTTTCTTTCACAGCATGAGCTGCTGCCCAGACCATGAGGGAGGAAGGATGGCAGAGTGCCGGGACAGGACACAGGGCTGGGGTGCCAGGAGGGAGCCCGGGGCAGGCTTGGCTATGGGGATCACTGGGTCTGAGTGTGTCTGCCAGCAGTACCGGGGCTCCCATGGGGAGGCGGGTGTGGGGAGGGGACCTGCCAGGGAGGCCTGCAGCATGCATACCATGCTGTCATTCCTCATCCTCAGTCCCTGCCCTGAGAAATAAGGGCCAGGTGGTGGCTGACCCCCAAGGAGCCCCTACGTGTACACTCCCCAAGCTGGGGGTACCTAAGGTGGGGGAAGCACAACAGAACACTCCAGAGACATGTCTTGCCTCCCACTGGCCTGAAAGCAGATGGCTGGGGCCGAGACCTGTGGGTTCAGCCCTGGGGTTGGGAAGAGTGCCAGGGGACAACCCTGGGCTGAAAAAAACAATCAAGAACTTAAAAACCACACAGAAGAACCAGACGCGACCTGGAGCTGGAACACTTGGGTGGGGAAGCTGAGATGGGGCAGGCTCTGAACAGCAAACATTACGACCAAACCACTGATTTCAGAGTGAAGGAAAACCCACAAAGACCCAGCAAGCCAACTCCACGAGAACTTGGAACCTGAAACTGCATTTTGGCGGCATTAACACCCAAAACGCGGCAGGGATAAGCAAGTCTCTTCGCAGCAGAAAGTCACTGGGTGAGGGATGGGGGCTGGGTTCACAAAAACACACCCCCAGAACCCAGAACCCCAAAACCTCAGGACCAAAGATGGAGCTGGAACCCACTTTCCACCAGGCAGGGGTCCTGCTCTTCCCCAGGAGCGAGACACCCAGGCCGGCTGAGAGCAGATGTTAAGATGGGGGGGCCCCAGCCCAGTGCACCCCAGTGCTCATTCCTATACCCTCACAGCTGAGATTTTTTCTGCAAGTGCCCAGTGGGTGAATCTGGGAGCAGGAGCCCAGGCCCAGCAGGGAACTCCTGGGGACCCTGCGTCCCTCCCCAACCCCTCCAACATCTGTCCTCCAGCTGGGTAACTACCTGCCCAAGGCACTTGGTCATGGTGAAGAGCTTATGAGGGAGGGCCAGCTGTTAGGGCAGCACCACGGGGAGTGACGAGGTGTTTCTAACGGACAGCAAGGGCTTCGGCCAGTGGCACAGACAGATGTGGGAGCTTCCAGCTGTCCCCAGGAGGAGGTTGCCTCTCTCACCACCTGGCCACCCCGTGCCCCCGCCCCCCCACCCCGGTGATCCCATAGGAACAACCTCACACACCATTGTGCAAAGTCGATATTGGATGGAGTACGATACTCCCACCACCCTTACTCCAAGCTCTCAAGCGGTGGTGGTGGTGGTGGGTGGGAGGGACATCTGGAAGGACTGCCCACTTCCCCGACAGCCTGCAGGCATTTTCGGAGTAGGTCGTGGGTATCCCAGGAGAGGCACGGGTCCTGAGCCCAGAGGGTCCAGGGAGAGGTCACAGGTGTCCAGCAGAAGACTGCCTCAAGCCTGCCTGTGACAGTGGCCAGGCTTGTGGCAGTCCCTGCGCTGACCCATACCAGCCTCGGGCCTTTACTCTCCTCCTCTGAGAAGTAGATGCCCAGATGAACCAGGCCTGCAGCCACTGACCCTCCAAGGCTGGGCTCAAGGGTGCGGGCCTGGGGCGTGGTTCTGACCCTGGTCAATGCCCGCAGCCCTGGAAGGAGCCTCACCCCCAGGGCCTTTGCCTGCCTCCGGAGGTCCTGGTTCTCTGTCCCACCATCCATGCTACTGCTGTTCTCCAGCTGCAGGCCAGGGCTTCCCGGAAGCCTGGCCCAGAGAGACAGGGGGATCCCAGCATTCTCAGTGTGCTGACTCCCAGGCCCCAGGGCAGTGGGTGCCAGAGAACCTGGGAGCCCAGAGGGCTAGACTCTGAGCACCTGTGCCCCTGGGGCTGACTTCCCAGGGGGCGGTCCTTAAAGCTTAACCCCTCCCCAGAGGATCACACCCACCATCCTCACTGATGGGTGAGCCCGCAGAGGTGCCTGACATGGAGGAGACAGCACCCTGTGGGGCACACGTGCAAAACACCGAAACAAGGCCCAGGGACTGGAGCCTGTGCTTGCTGGTAGGCAGGGAGAGGAAGATCATGAGGTAATGAAACAGTCCCCAGCCTAACCACCCCTAGGACCACGTTGCAAGAAAATGTTCGAAATGCAGCTTTGGCTCTCTGTGACACATGGGGCCATCTTGGGGTGGGGGGGTCCATTTTAGAAACCAGGCTCATTTCCCCCCAAAACCCCCTGGGGTCTGGCTTCATGCCTGCAATACTCATCTTACACACTAGGTGGCAGTGCCCACCACCACTGCCACCGATACCACCGTACCTGACTCAGCCACATCAGCAATGTCCACCCCTTGCTCTTGTGCCATGAAGCCCAGGATGGAAAAAATTGCGAAGCCAGACACAAAACTGGTACCACTGTTCAGGCATCCCAGCAGCATACAGTCCCTAAGTTACACATATGTCAGGGAGCAAGTTAATTCACAACACAAGGAAGCCACGCTCCCTACTTCTTCTCTTTTCATCATTTCTAGGGTGCACCGGGCCCGCCGGCGCGACACTTGCCTGTATGAGTTGTACTTGTACTTGTTGTAACTCCCCAGCGAGGTCATGGCCCCCAGACAGATGGCATAGGAGAAGAAGATCTGGGTCCCGGCGTCAATCCACACCTGCGAGGGCCAGGGAGGTGGCGAGAAGAGAGAAGGCAGAGATCAGAGCCGGCTTGGCAGAGGCCACCCTGCCCAAGGATGGGACCTTGCAGAGTCCAGATTCACCGGCCGAGCCTGCCCTTATTCCTGACATCAGGGTTAAGAGGTTGGGTTGCCCTCGAGTCAGCGCTAGCGTGGGCCTGGACAAGTAGGGTTCCATCACTGGGGCAACTTTCCAAGTGCAGACAGATGTCACCATAAGCTGGGCACACAGCAAGGCCCAAGGTCAAGGCTGTCATGACTGTGTCGGGAAGAATGGCTGTGGCTCCTGTAAAGCGGCTCCCCTGACTCTTCTGGGACCTTCTCCTGGCAGCCCTGAGGCTACCTGCATAGCTGAACCCACCCTGGGTGGCCCACAGCCTGCTCTCCTCTGGAGGGAGGGGCAGGAAGAGGACTGGAGCAGCCTGTATCCCTGGGAATCCCCAAGACAAGAGACACTCTTCCCTCCAACCCTGTGGGCTGGTGGTTCCTAGGGCCCGACCTCACCAAGAGAGCTGGCAGCTGCACCAGCCCAGCCTCTCCCACGCCCGGGACATGGGGCTCCCACGCACACACTCGCTGAGGCCACAGCCTGGAGGGACGGGAACCCCATTCATAGCAGATTCCTCCCTTACCTGGCGCTGTGCCCAGGGCAAACTCTACCTGGCAGCCTCAGGAGTTCTTAGCACCAACGACACACACAGCTGAAAAGCTTGTGAGTGGTGCCACAGGCCCCGGGGGTGATGCCCGGCCACACCTGTACTACCTGCTGCTGTGCACCCTGCCCTGTCCTGTGCCAGCTGGACCCTGGGGGGACAGGGAAGAAGGGGGGTGTACCCTGCCCTGGCATACCTGTGGGTCCGCAAGGCGTGTGATGTTAGGGTACAGGTAAAACTTGATGCCCTCGCCTGCGCCGGGCAGCGTCAGCCCCCGCACCAGCAGTACCAGGAGCATGGCGAACGGGAACGTGGCTGTGAAGTAGACGACCTGTGAGGGCAAGAGGACTCGGGTGGACCCGTGGCCGCCGCGTGCCACTGTGGATGCAGAGAGGGAGGGAGGGAGGAAGGGAGGCAAGTGCAGGTGAGACCTGACCTCTCTGGGCCCGTATCCTGGCACTCTGTGAGCTCCAACCCCGTGGACTCTGAGATTTAAATAAAAGTATGTGTACCAACACAGTGGTGGATGACACAGAAAGACAATCCCTGCTGTTGGGGCACCATGGCACAGCAGAGCCGGGCACTGGGGTGCCTGTGTGGCCTTGGCCAGGGGCGGCAGCCATAAATCCTGTGCTGAAGGACTGATGGCTGTGTCTGTGCCTTTCATGTGTGACCTTGGGCCCGGGGCTGACCCTCTCGGGACTTGGGCTTCCTGTGTGGAGTGGGCACAGAGCAACAGGACCCATCAAGGGGGTGGGGTGGTGACCCCAGGGGCTGATGCACCTGATACCCAGCAGGCTCCAAACCTCGGGCCAAGGGAAACCGGCAAGTGACAGTGACAGATGAGGACAGAGCCCCGGGCCTCAGCTGGTTGGCAGAGCAGTCCCCAACAGAACGTAAAGCTCTGCTGGTCACAGGCCCCCTGAGAAGGACACCGGCCAGGGGCTCTGGGAGTGGGGCAAAGGGCAGGCTCGCAGGTCCTCAGCCCAGCCACCCACCCAGCACTTACTGGGCACCCACCATGTGCCCGGGTGCTCCTCCCAGTGCTGGGAGCCACTGACTTACTCATCCTGCCCTTCCATTCGAGGGAAGCCGAGGCCAGGACAGAGTCCGCTATCCTGCCCAGAGTCACATGGCACTTGGGGGGCACGGTGAGGGGCCACCCAAGACTGCATAGCGCACAGTGGTCAATAGCTGTCCCTGGCAGGTGGCTCAGGACTTCCCCCCAAAGACCAGTGGGAGACTGCTGCCCCCAGGGCTGGAGGCAGAGATCCTGAGACTCCAAATCCTACACAGCCACCAACTGGCTTGAGGTCTAGGGCAAGGCCTGCCCCTCTCAGATGCCCTGCCTCACCTGGACTTGAGAGGCTGGAAAGCCAGAGGCCACCAGGGTCAGCCAGCCTGGGTGGTTGGCTGCTGAGGGCTCAGCACCTTGGCCCGTGTGGCTGGGAGGCTACCAGAGCCGACCCGGGTCTCACACTGCTGCCAGGTCATCCTGCCCACTCCCGCCCGTCACATCCACCAACACTCCTCCCGGGACCTCAGTTTCCCCAGCCACTCTCAGACCCCGGAGGCTCATCATTTCCTGAAAACCAGACAGTGGATAAGGAGGGTAGGGGGTGTCAGCAAGCCATGGAAGGGGTGAAAGAGGCGGAAAAAGCAAACCGGGCTGCCCCGGCAGCAGTTCCTCCCTTCCTGCAGCTGGACCAGGCCAGCTTCCACCTCTGGGGCTACACCTGGAGCAGGTGAACACCAGCCACAGACAGCAGCCCCCAGAGACTCCTGTGGGCAGCCACTTCACAGGGGGTTAGGCCCTGGCTGGGCCAAGGTCAAGCAGCCAGACAGCTAAGGCTGCAGGGACACCTGTGACAGGCACTGTGGGGGCACTGGGACCACTGCGCTCACTGCTTCGCTTGGCCCAGGCGTCATCTGCAAGAGCAGGCTGCAGCTCGCGGAGGTGGCAACGCACGAGCATGGCGAAGGCTAGCAGTGGGGCCTGCTGGAGGCTGCTGGGTCTCCGGGATCCTCCCAGCGCGTGTGGCTCCCTAAGTTGGAGTCTTGACGAACACCCTCCTACCCCGCCCGTCCCGCCTCCTCTTTGTTTTGCGGCGCCTGTCATTGCTCTGAGGACCAGCTGCTCGGCCTCTAGGGAGAGGCTGGTGCCAGCCGCCCCGCGGGCCCCTGGCGGAGGCCCAGCTTGCCGTGGGACGTGGTATTTTTCCGCTCCTGCTGGCGAACCTCCGTGGCTCCTCTGAGCCCTCTCCACCTGGCCACCCTGGAAACGCATGAAGATGCTCCCCACTCCTTGGGGACACTGGGGCTGCCACACGTGCAGGGTCCCCAGGACCGCGACATGCGTGGGGCCAGCAGAGAAAGGGCTCCCACACAGCTCCTGGCAGCCACACTGAGGTCCTTACCAGGCTGGCTCGGACTCGGGACCCATGGGTTTCTGAACAAAACGAGCCACCCTGGACAGCAGGAGTGGCCACAGCATGGGTCTGCACTCACTCTCCAGCCCTGCCCCGTCCCTTCATGACTGTGAGGACACCCCTGCCTGATGTCCTACTTGCACACAGGGGAGGTGAGGAAGTGGGAAAGCCAAAGACACCAAACACTGGGAAGAGGGAGGCCTGGGTTCCTATCCCAGCTTGGCCGTTGACAAGCTGTGTGGCTCCGAGAAAGTTAACTGCCCTCTCTGGACCTGCTTTCCCTGCTGTAAAGTAACTGCTTCCAGTAGCAAAGCCTGCAATTCCTGAGCCGAGACAGCATGGAGCAGCACACCCGGCCCTGGGGTCGGCTGCTGGTGTCACCACTGACTGAATGAGACAAGCCATGGTGGCTTCCTCGAGGCCGGCTTCCGACCCCGGAGCCGAGCATGGCAGGGTGAGGCAGGCAGGCAGCATGGCTCAGCCCCACGTCCCTGGCAGCAGGGCCTGGGCCGGCTGTGAGCCTGCTCTGTGGCTGGGGCTGAAGGCCACGGTGGCGAGGTGGCCGGGCAGAAAGGCAGCTCCCAGCCACAGCACTCGAGGAAGTCCACGGGTCGCCCATGTTTGTCTTGGCTCCTCTGGGCCGGCCTGGGCTCTGCCATTGTTCTGAGAACCACGCCTGCCCATGCAGGAGGCTGTGGCTAAGGGTGAGGTGGGAAGACCACTGGCAAGTCATGCCAGCCCCAGCCCCAGGCGCAGTGGGCGCTCTGCCATGTGGCTTCGGCCCTCCCCGTGGGGCGTCCCCAGGGCTGCTGACTGCTGCTGGTGGACACGAGTCTCCTGCAGCTCTCATCTTGCCTGGCATGTCTTCAGTTGGTCCTGGACCATCTGAGCGACATCTGTCCTGCTGATCGCTACAGATCTCCATTCCTGCCACAGTACCTGACATGCAGGAGAGGGGCCCATGGCGCGAAGCATCAACGACTCAGCCCCTGGCACTGAAGCCCATAGAGTCCTGACAGCTTTGCTTCTGGGTAGGGGCAACTGATTCTCCATGGTGTGCCAACCACGATGCCAGGTGCTTGCCTCACCTTCCCCTTTCCTACCACCCATTTCTCAGATGTGGAAACTGAGACTTGGAGGTAAGGGAGTGACCTCGGCTTCTGCCCTGTTTGCAAACAGGCAGAGCAAAGGGGTAATCAGGGGGTGTTGAGTTCCCAGCTCCCGGCGCACATCCCTGCCCTGGGAGGCAGTGATGGGGGGCTCCATCAGCCAGACTGAGTCAGGGCAAAGGGAGCTCTCCCTCTCTGCCTCTCAGATCATTTTTTCAAAACACAGAAGGCTGCCATCTGACAGGATTAGGACACGGAGAGGCAGAGAACACACATGCTCTTGGAGGAAGGTGCCCGTGCCCGCTGGCAGCAGGACCTGCGCTGGGCATGGGAGCAGCCCTGACTGTGCTTCCAGAGCACAGAGAGGATTCCGCAGGCCTGTGGTGGGGGATCCACAGAACCACGCCATCAGCCTCCCGCAAGCCTGTGGCTGGAGGGCTGGCTCTGTCTGCCCACCGCACCCTGCCTGCCACCACGCAGCCCCTACTTATCTCTGCAGTTCAAGAGATCCTTCCTCACACACACACCAACAGAGACTCTGTCCCCCCTCCCATATCAAGGTGGGACTCTGAGGCAGGATGACGTGTCCACAAGCCTCTGTGTGCCCAGCACTGTGGCTATGACCACTGCGGACCCCCACACTGGTGGCATAAGGTCCCCACGCTGCCTAGGAACAGGTGACACTGCAATTATCACCCAGGTACACAGGCACGCTCTCTACAAGGTAGCATTCCTATCAGCGGCTCTGGGCACTAAGCTGGGCATCAGAGTCACCCGCTGTGCCTGGTTGTCAGCAGCAGGACGCTGGGATACAGCCACCGGCCCAGCTACGAGCACAAGACGTCACCGTCAGCTAACGTTTTTGCGAGCCGCCTGCGTGGTCGTGTGTTAGTTATAACTCATTTGCTCTGACTTAGCAGCCAAACTCCATGCCAGAGCAGCTCAAACTGTGAAGAGCCGAGCACTGGCTGGGGACCGTGCACGAGGCACCGTCGGCCTCCCACCTGCCCACCCGCCCGCTCCTCTGGGTGCCGTGCAGTCCTACCTAGGCTGGCTCCACCAAGCCAGGCCCCCCGACTGCAGTGACATGGCATCCCTCCTCATCTGCCAACATCAGCAGTTCCTGCTGGGATCCTGAGGTGGCAAAGCAGCAGCAGCAGCCCTGTGCACTGGTCTTCAGGACCAGGATGACTTGAATGTGGGCATGGAGGGAGTGCGGGCAGATGCACTGGGCTTTGCTTTGGGACGTGGGACTGGTCAGTGTTCACACTACCCCTGGCTGCCTGGGAGGCAGAGCGAGAGTTGGCCTCACCTTCCCCGTGGACCTGACTCCCTTCCAAATGCAGAAGAAGCAGATCAGCCAGACGAGGAGAAGGCAGAGCGCGAGGTCCCATTTCAGAGTGCCCGGGTGGTCGATCCCAGGGGACAGGCTTAGCACGTTGCGCCTGCAAGCAAACACAGAGGGGAGTGGTCGGGGGCCATGAGGCTGGGCTAGGCTGTGTCTACCCGACTCACCTTGCTCCCTTCCTGGGCCTGGCAACTCCCATTTGCACAGGTGTAAGGGTTCTGGGAAGGCAAGCAGGGGACGCATTTGGACCCCTAAAGCAGGCAGCTGGGGGCTTTAGACACAGCCTAGCTTCAGGCAGGTTAACTCCCAGCCTATTTCCCTGTTGTAAAATGAGTAACAATTCCCCATGGACGCTTAACCCAACCAAGAACCAAACCACAGATCCTCAGCTCGGCTCAGCTGTTCACTCCCTGGCTTTGGGCTGCTTGTCTAACCTCAGTCTGCTCATCTATGAAATGGGTAACTAACCTCCCTACTGCTCCCACACCTGCCCCCAGCAAAGGTCCTCTCTCCATCCCCCTGTAGGCTGGATCACTCCCTAAGATGGAAGCATCCAGATGGCAGAACATTCTGTCTGCAGGTCTGGACAGGTTCGTTTTAGGGAGAGAAGGCACACAGAGTCCCAAGCAGAATCAGGACTGTCACTGGCGAAAGGACGCAACACCTGGAGCATGTGGCAGTGCCATCCCCTGCCCCGCTGCTGGAGTCAGAGACCTCAGGAGAAGGCAGGGTTGAGGCTCACCAGGAGACCCTGCTGAGGGCCAGGGGCAGAACCAAGTCTCCTGCCATCAGGGCAGACACGGATACAGCTGCTCACAGACTGTCCCCCAGGAGGTTGGACGAAGGCAGAGCAGGTGCAGGGAGACCCAGGGCCTGGACATGGTACCCAGGCCTGGAGCCAACCCTGTAGCTGGGACACCAAAGGTGGCCATGCCAGCCTGATCCTGCCCATGCGTCCCCTCTGGTGGCTGAGCACAGGAGCCAATTCCCTAAGGAACCAGTCCCCGATGAAAGGGACAAGCTGAGTGGCCCCCGGGGCCTCAGTCTCTTCTTCTGTCCAGTGGAAGTAATAGACCCCTTTCAAGTTCACATTTGCTGCCTGGCTTGGAAAACACCTAATGCACTCACACAGGAAGGAACTTGAGGGGTGGAGGGGTGGAAATAAGCCACAGACTGCTCCCTGGACACACTCATCCTTTCCCTTGTGGGTCACAGTGACAGCCCCACCAATGGCCTACGTGTGGAGCTCTTTTCAGTTTTCTCATCCAAGGAGTCCAACTGCTCCATTTTATAGATGGGGAAGACTGAGGCTTGGAGGATCCACTGGCCCCGGGCCTCAAAGTCAGCAGGCTTCTTAGCCCAGGCCCGCCCGACTCTACCACCCTGCTGTGCTAATGTTTAAAGAATACAGAGCCGTTGTGTTCTTAAAGGACCGCTCCTGTCAGGGTGACGTCTCAGGATCCCCTGGTGCCTCAGGGTAGGGGTTATGCCCATGAGGCTGTGGCCCCAGCCAGTATTCTTGTGGCAACAGCATCCTCCTGCCCCTCCCTGGGTTGGTGGCCTGGGGCATGTGGCAGTGCTGGAGGATGGGCAGTGCTGGAGGATGGCAGTGCCAGGAAGTGAGGAAGAGTTCCCTCCCCGCTCATCTGGGCTACGGCACCCACGAGCCAGCATCCTCAGCTGCCCTCTCAAACTTATCAGTATCTCCCCAACCTGTCTCCAAGCACTCCAACTTGGTGGTCAGGTGCAGGCCAGGGGCTTGGCCAATATCTGGCTCAGGGTGGCCCTCTGTCCCTTCCTTCAGCACAAGCCTGCCAACAGCCTCCAAACCCATGACCCCAGCTAGCCTGTCAGACCCCTGCTCTGCCCCGGGGCCCCAGCCAAGCCCTGATGGAGACCACAACAAAGACACGGAGCCAGGGGCCTCTGCTGAGGGTGTCGGGCAGTGAGTGACACTCTGAGGTCCACTCCGCCTCACCTGGCACATTCGTTTCCAATGCAGGGCCAGCAGGAGGGTTCAGAGACTGAGACTGGCTGGGACCCAGCTGTCCGTCCTGCTGGCTTCAGGGAGCCACAGGGCAGGAAGGTGACAAGGCAGCACACAGTCCAGGAAGGGACAGGAACCTTCACCATGTGCTCAGGAGAGGCCGGAGAGCAGGCAGGGTGAGGACTCACGTGGAGGGTGCCCAGCAGTGTACCCGTGTCCTGAGCAGCACTGCACCCAGCATGAGCCCCTGAGCATCCTTAGCATGCTGGTCACCTGCACAGCACACTGTTGGGATGGTTTACCTGGGCGGCACACATGCCCCAGTCCCACCCGCCACAGTGCAGCTGCCTCCTTGGAGCCTGACATGGTCTCCAGGACCCCATGGGCTAGCTATGAGTTAGAATCCTAGGGTGTCCTCACTGCCAGAGCCTGCCGAGTCACCGGCTGGACCTGCTCTGGGAGCAGCAGAAGCACTGCCCCTTAGGGCCACCTGGTTGCTTGATGTCTTTCCACCACGCTGCGTCCCATAACTCGGCCGGCAGCCCCGTCCCTGCCTTGTTGTCATCAGAGCGAATCTAAGCCAGGCACTTCCCTCCCGTGCCTCTACCTCCCCCACCAGCCAGGCCCCACCTGCCTGTCCCACTGCTACATCCACATCAAGGGGTGAGGGGCTGCACTGCCCTGGGTCAGCCCACTGCAGGGCCGACCCCACTCCACTCCCTCATCCGTCAGCTGCACGGCCTGCCTCTGGGCCAGCTCTGAACAGAGCCTCGCTGAGCAGTGCCTGGCATGCAGCAGGAGCCTGGCTGACATCAGCTGGGCAAACTCATCACACCCATTTGGCTGAGAGGGAAGCTGAGGCTCCGACTGGACCAGGAAGTCACCCAAAGTCATCCCGACAGAAACCAGACCTGGGTCTGCTTTCTTTTTTTCTGCCACCCACCCCCTCCGAATTCCAGAGATCGGCCACCCTAAATACCAAGTCCGCCGCTGCCCTTGGCCAGGGTCGCTAAGCATCACAGGCCTCCCTGACTCCTCTCCAGAGGTGAGCCACATTCCCGTCCCAGAATAGTCATGATTCATTCCAGGGTGGGATCCAAGAAAGAACAGCCTGGCCGCCTGCGCCGAGCCGCCCGCCCCGCTGCCGTCCCGCAGGCACTTGGCGATGTAAATACGTCCTCCGAGTGGGCCAAATCGTTTCCTCTTGACTGCGGGCCAGCTGTGTATTGGCCACGGCACCCCCCTAGAGGCCGGTGCAGACAACAATTAGCAAAGTGCCGTCCGCGCCGGGCACGGGGCCGCACCAGCCGCACCCCTCCACCTCCTCCTTCTGACAGCTGCAGGGGGAGATTGGCAAGGGGGGCTTGTTTGCAAACATGACTCACGTCTTTGAGTCTAACAAAGTCTAACGCTACGTGCCGGGCTCCCGGGAGGACCTGGCTGACTGAGGGCACGCGGCCAGGGCCGGTCCCTCCAGCCAGGGCAGAGGTGACCTCGCAGAGCCAGGGCCAGCAGAAGGGGCAGCAGCTTTGTTTACCAGGCCGGGGGAGAAGGCGGGCCCCCTGGGCCCAGCACCTTAGGGCATCATGCCAGCTTTTGCTAAGCATGGCAATCCAGTGGCTGGCCAGTATGTGTGCGGGGACCATGTGGGTAATCTGAGGAGTGGACACGCACACACACATACTCAGGGTGTGGTCCTGGTCTAATGGCTGCTGGGGACCCACACCCCACCTTGAGGCTAGGACCCCTGCTACTTTGTCCCCATCCTAAGCTATCCCAGGTCTTAGCTCTGGAACACACAGCCCAGGCTAGGAAGGAGAGCGTGTCAGGACCCAGCTAGCAGAAGGGCCTGGATGAGGACACCCCAAGGTCACCCGGCTGGGATGACCTCCGGAGGTGGGAACCTCCAGAAGCACAGGTAGGGACAACCAACAGGCTGGGTCCCTGCCCCACCAGCCCGCCCCCCCCCCCAACACTTGCCTCCTCTTTTATAACTCTGACACTCAAGGCCTCAAGCCCTGGCCCTGCCCCACCTGCCCTTCTTCAGGGCCACCCCCTCTTATTTGCCATTCCTCAGCTCAGGGTTGGGGGGGACACTCTGCCTCTGGGTGCCACTCCTGCCCAGGACATTTTAGGAGACGTGGTAAGCTGCTACATTCCCCTCTGCACCCCTTCCTCAGGTCTCTGCACTGGCAGGCGGGCAGGTAAAACCAGAGATGGGCTGGCAGAGGTGGTGATGGTGCCTGGGCAAGGTTGGATCCTGGGTTATCTTTTGAAGCGAGACTGGAGTTCTGTCTTCAGTCCGGCCAAAGCCCTGGCCATCACAGCCATTTGGGACATTAAAGTGGATGAAAGAGCTCTCCCTCCCTCTCCTCTCTCGGTAGTTCCGCCTTTCAAACAAGTCAGTGACAATGTTTAAAAGCCTCTGCTGCAGACTGTTAACTCGGTGCTGACACAGCACCCCTGGGTCTCAGCTTGCCCCATTCATTCCCTTCCCACTCTGCCATGTCATGGCCAGGACCAGGGAAGGCAGGAGGCTAGGGCTCCTCCCTCAGGGGCAGCTCAGAGATGGCACAGTTCCCACATCCCGTTCCAGAGCCCCCCGCACCCTGTGCTTACATGGGAGGCAGGCCTGGGCTCTGGCCTCAGCTGCTTTCCCGGCTCCTGCTCCATGGAGCTCCAGCTCCTCCAGGGATCCATAAAAGGGTCAGGAATCTCATGCCTGGAGTATCATGAGACTCTACGGAAAACCTGGACCAGTGTGGCCATTGGTAGGGAGGGGCCGGCGCCCAACACAGGCAAGCCTACCCTACCAGAAACTGTTTCAAATAAATACAGTTGTGCAGTGTCTTCTGGGCTGGAACAGGTAGCCGGGGTGTGGTGGTGGTGCAGAATAGAGGTTCTGAAAGGTAGGGGTCCTAGGATCCCCCCAGAGGATGTTGCTGGACGAACAGGCCAGCAGGCAGGTGTGGACCAAGGCGAGGAAGCCCTCATGTGGGTCTGGAAGCCTTCCCTCTAGTACCCCTGATGACAGGCGACAGATAACCATAGTGACAGCCCCTTTCCCAGAGAGGGCATCTTCAGCCCTTGGGGGCTGCTCCTTCTAGAATGCCCAAACTCCCCAAGGCAGCTCTGGCAACTGGAAGGACCTTGCACGATGTTGTTGACTGCTACATGCCAACCCTGTCATCAGGGCCAGCCAGGAAGCACTTCCTCTCTTAGGGTCACCCCACAGCCGACAGGGGCAGTGCTGCCAGCATCTTGGATGCAAGTGAGGGCACCACAGCCAGAGATGGGAACACAGCTGCCTAAGCTAGCAGTGGGACAGAGAGGGGGCAAACCCAAGTAGGCTGGGCCAGGCCAGACCAGGCCCAGCCAAAGCAATGGGGGCTGGCACACGCCCCCACAGCCTGGCAAGGGGCCAGTGGCTTGGGTGGGGTAGTCCTGGTCATCGGCTGTGTGCCAAGAACAGCACAGAAAGGCCAGGGCTGTGGCCTTGGGCCCTGATCAAGGCAGAAGAATGAAGTGCTAACATTTCTTTGTCTGCAAACCCGGGGCGGGGACCAGGGCAGAGGAGCACACTTTTAACGCCCTCTTTGTTTCCAAGTGGAAAACAGTTGCCCACCAGGATTCCCGAGGCCCAGCCCTGCCCAGGAGCACACCCAGTGGTGACTCAGACCATGCCCGTGCCCGGGAGGCTTCACAAAACCCAGAGTGGGCGGCTGGGCCTTCCTGCCTAGGACACACTAGCCCTGGCCACCCCCTACCCCTTCTCCACCTGCCCCAAGACACCCCTGCAAACAGCAAAGCCACACACCCAGGAAGCCATCAAGAAGGACAGGGACCCCTATCCCTCCGGGCTCCCTACTCCACCCCGGGCCTCAACTGGCCTCTTCCCAGGGCCGAGCACTGTGCCTGAGCGTGCAGCCTCTGCCAGCACTGGTTGACACACTCTTATTTTCTGAGCTCAACACTGCTGAAGCTAACCCAGATGCCTTCTCACTGCCTGCTTGCCTTTTCCTAGCCACTTCAGCCTCACACATTTTCCTCCATGCGGCAACAGAGAACATACTTCTTCTGGAATACATTCAGAGACAGACATGGCTTTCAGGTAATTGAGGACCTGCACCTGCCTTTGGGAGACAAGCCTTATGGGGAGGGAGGGACTCAGACCTCTTCCCTTGCCCAGGACTGAGTTGCTTAAGACTCAGCAGCCAGTAACTGGCCAGCCTGGGATTTGATCCCAGGCCTTGTCTAGACCAAACTTTCAATGCACACCCTGCAGAACCCCTTGCACAGATAGCAACCCCTTGTTCCCAGGGAGGAGATGAACTGTGCCCCCCACCCCCAAGCCTGAGACCAGCCTTACTCCCAGAATTCGGTGACAGGGGAGGTGAAGTTGGTGGTGCTGATGGTGAGCCACACACTCCTGTTCTTGCGCAAGGTGTCTTCCATGCACTGCGGCGTGTTCCAGCTGTGGTTGCAATGTGCCCAGGGAAGATCCGACTGGAAGGACTGGAATAGGTAGTAGGTGGCCCAGGCCAGGATGACAATGTAGTACACGTTCAGGAGGGATACAATCACGATGGAGGCATAGCCGATGCCTGCGGGCGGGAAGCAGGTGGGCAACAGGTGAGCCAGGGCCACTCTGTCCAACCCCTCCCCTGTAGGCCACGCTGTCCCTAAACCAGGAGCCACAAGGGACCTGGGACCTGACCAGCAAGTTGCTGTGGTATGAAGTGATGACCACACGGATGCACAGGTGGAGAGATGGGAGGGTGTGATGGGCAGAATGCCACATGCTTCGCAGAGCGAATGGGTGAACAGGTAGATGAAGGCCAAATACGTCATAGCTATTCAACCAGCTGGGAGATGGAAGGATGGTGGCTGATGAGAAGTTAGGGCAGAGGAATGAATGAGTGAATGGAAGATGAATGGACAGGCTTGTAGTAATTGAATGGTTTAATGGAAGAAATACTTAATGGGTGGATGACTAAACCGACCAACACATATTCCCATCTTTGCCAATTAAATCATAACAGTGATGGGCTTATGTGCACAGGACTGCAAAGCTATTATTATGGCAGTACTTGCTGCAAGTCCAGGACATTTTTTATGTGGTTGTGTCTGTCTTCATGGCAACCCTATGCAGAAAGCGGATTGTTTCTCTTATAGGTGAGGACTTTGAGGTGCACAGGGATGTTCCAGAAGTTGGAATATGAGGAAGAGGTAGGACTTGAGACCAGACACAGAGCCTCCTGAAGCCAAGTGTCTGCCCACTACACGCTGCTAGACTCCTACTAGCATACCCTTCCTGCCACCTGGACAGGTGGGCACAGCAGGACCTGGGGCCATCACTGTGTGCCAGGTGCCTGCCATCTACCTCCTTTCTCAACTGCACAGCGGTGGCAGTGTCACACCTTTGCTGTCTGAGCTGCAACCCTGAGTCAGACAGAGCTAAGTGACATGGGCGAGGAAGCAATGCACCTGCAAACGGCAGGTGCTCACTAGCTGGGCGGTGGTGCTGCACCCCAGGCCCTTGGCAAGCCTTGACTCCTACTCACCAGAGAACAAGGGGCAGATCTTTTCCCAGCAGGTGATGCCCCCTTCAGAGGTGTACTGGCCTATGATGATCTCCAGGAAGAACACAGGCAGGCCACCCCCAAACAGAAAGATGAAGTATGGTATGAGGAATGCACCTGCAAAGAGAGAAGACGGGGCAAGGGTCAGGCTGGGCCCAGCACTGAGGCCAGAGTCGAAGGTTTACGCTCCCAAGAGCTCCCATCTGAGGGACTCGGGGAGAACAGGTGAAGGCTGTGGAGTTGAAGGCTTTGGGGGAATAAGGGCTGTGAGGGACCAAGTCCATTGTAGGAGGAGGACATGGGGTTGAGGCCATGGGGGAGGAAGGCTGTAGTGGAAGAAGGGTATGGTGGAGCAAGGCTGTTGGGAACGAGGCCCATGGGACCTCTACCAAGTACTCCAAACCTCGAGGCTTTGGCGTCGCAGGGGCCACCATCAGCCTTCTCCTCATCCGCCTCTCTCTATGCAGGGCTGCGGCCCCAAGACCCATCTCAGCCACCACCACCTTCACATCCTTGCCTGCTGAGGCCAGGTAGACAGAGGAAGGTGCAGGAGGTGGCCTCTCCAGCTGGGCCGTGCGAGCCAGGGGAGGATGGAGGGGCCAGGCCTCGGGCGGAGGCCTCCTGCCCAGCACCTGCAAGCAGCTTTGGCCCATCCATACCCCCTATGACTGCAGGCAATGGGGTCAAGGGTTCGTGCTTCATTTTGGGGAGCATCTAGCACACTCATCTGAGTCCCAAAGGAACCCAAATCCCACGGAAAGCAAAGAACCCCCCGCTGTGTTTCTAAGGTCGGGGGTGGGGTGGGGGTGGAGACGGGGTGCAGCCTCACCTCCGCCATTTTTGTAGCAGAGGTACGGAAACCGCCAGACATTGCCCAAGCCCACGAAGCCGCCAGCCACTGACAGCACGAAGTCGAGCTTGCTGGACCACTTCTCCCTCTGTGGGGGCTTGCCCTCAGCCTCATCCTCAGGCCGCGTGCCTGGGCTCTTCCCAGGTGACGGCTTCAGGATGTCCTTGTGGAAGTCTTTCAGACACTGCAGCTTCTCCTTGTTGGCCATCTCCTCGCTCTCTGCAGGGGACAGAAGAGTACATACAGAGCAATGAGGGCCAACCACGGAGTCAGCAACACAGCCCTGCCCTTGGCACCCAGGAGCCGGCTGCTGCCACATGCCTGGACCCGTGCAGGAGCCTCGCAGTCCCTTGCCTACCCCATCATCCGGTACCTTCTAGGATGCCAGGGATCCCAAAATTCAGACTGGGGGACGCTGTACACTGGCAGGGCCCACAACCGACAGCTTCAGCTCCCCGGGCACCTCAAAGGTTTCACCTGTGTCATCCCACAAAACCCCAACACACCCCAGGCAGTGCTAGGAACCCTCCCCAGGACAGACCTGCCTGCACATTCTAGAAATTACAAGCCGACTTTCTGATGTTGGATTGGTATAAGACACGGAGCCCAGTGTGGCGAGTGCTGTGTGGCTGCTCCCAGGAGGGACCTGCGGAGCACGGGGAGGGATGCTTGGCTGGAATAGGCCCAGGACTGGGCAGTGGGCTGCAGCCCACGACAGAGAACGCATGTTGGAAGCTCTGTTTGCCATCTATTAACCAGTCACATGTCGCAGCAGGAAAAGTAAGGCTTTGTGCTACGAGGATTAGGCTTGAGTCCCAGTAATCTCCTTTCCCGCCCCTCCCCGGCCATTCTCCGGCAACTGCGGCTCTAGGTCCCCTCACCCTCTGGCTCTCTGTGGGGTTCAGCCAGCAGGAGCTGCACAAGCAAGTGGAATGAAAACACACACACACACACACACACACACACTCCGTCCCTTTCAGGCCACTCCTGCTGAGACCTCACTCTCCTTGAGGCTTGCTGCCAGCCACAGAGCAGCCTTCTGCTTTGTTTGTTTTTCAAATATTTATTTTCTTATTTGTTTTGGAAGACAGAGTCACACAGACAGGGTTGAACAGGGAACTGCTGTTTGCCAGTTCACCCTCCAGAAAGCTGAACTGGCCAACGCTGGGCCAGGCCCAAGCCAGGAACTCCCTTCAGGTCTTCCCGGGAGAAGTAAGAGCCCAAGGCCTCGAGCCACTCTTGGCTGCTTTTCCAGACCATTATCAGGGAGTGGGTTCAGAAGTGGCGCCCACAGGACACTGCAGGTGGCAACTGGACCCACTACACCAGGTGCCAGCCCCTTCTTTCTGCACTTCCCGGGGTGGTTTCAAGTGTGCTGTCTTCTCGTCATGGCTACATGAGCAGGAGATGGACCGCACTTGCTGACGAAGAACAGACAAGGATGGCCAAGAACAACCCGTGTCCCAGCCAGTAAGAAACAGGAGACATTAGACAACCGTGACTCCAGATGTGGTCCCCTGCCCTCAGTGTTCACTCCTGACATGACACAGCCGCACCACAGGTGAGCCCACTGGGCCCTCTTAGGCACCCACCTGCAGGATAAAAGGGGCAGATGGCATGATGGCTGACTCACAGCCAAACGCCGAAGTTTCCAACCATCTAAGTGGGTGGCCATCACCACACAGAAGTCGTAGTTGCCTCGTGCTCCTGGAAAGCTGCGAGCTTGGGCCACACAGAGTTCACATTCCTCACGGCTACCCCGTCACAGCAGGTGCAGCCTACCCTGAACACAGCCTGGCCAGCTCACAGGCAGCACCTATGCACCAGCCTCGGGGCAGGGGGGCAGCCCAGCCTGTCTCCTCCAGGGCTCACCACTATCTAGGGCACCTGGCCCCCTGACTGGCCCCCTTGCTTCCCGGCTCTATCCTCCATCAGAAGATGGACTCCCAACCTGCCTTGTTCACACAGTGCCCCCTGCCTCGGCCTGAACAAGTGTGCTGCTAGGAAGGTAGTTCCCTGCGTGGCACCTGCCATCCATTCGTACACCTCTGAGTCAGTTGCTGGCAAGCCGTGCAGCCTTGAGATTGCAGGCGAGTAAAGAGTGGGCTGCCAGAGAGCCGTGCCACTCTAAGGGGCAGAGGCACAAAGGCACGGCAAAACCCCTGCCCTCGGGATCCTCCCTCCACCCGGCATGGGGTGGGGGACCCCGATTGTTTCACTATCTGGCAGCCAGCAGACCTAGCGAGGCTTCCTGCAGCCCCCGGAGTCCTTCCTCTGTCTGGAGGAGCATCCGCATGGCCTTTCTCTGGCCGCTCCCTCGAGGCCCTGTGCAGGACCCGGCGGGCCTGTGGCTACTGTAAAAATAGCCCCAGCGGCCAGCATTGTTCCAGCCTGTGCTCGCTTGCTCTTGCTCGCACGCCCCCGATGGTTATCTGGACAGCCCATTGTGGACCGCCAGGGTGGGCGCATAATTGGAGGATGTGGGGCTCAGCTCCCCCCTGGAGAAGGTCTCAGGGAGGGAAGCCAGAGAGGCAGGGGCCGCCCTCCTGGATACTCCCCAGACAGGACCAGGGGACTGAAAGGCCAGGCAGGCCCTCGGACAGAAGGTGGGAGGGGGCGTGCTTCAGCCTCTGCTGGCTCTCAACGCCAGGGCACCATTGGCACCAGGGCACCACTGGCCGTGGCTGGAATGGACCCTGCCAGGATCAGGAACCTCCTCCCCTGTGGCTGTCCAGAGCCCTAGCTCTGCACTCTGGGCCCCCAGACCCACTTGCTACTTTAGCACTGAGAACCTGCTAAAACACAGGGATTGGCGGGGGTGCTTCAGGAGACTCCTTAAGACCTCCTCTTCCCTAGGCTCTGGTTTCCTCCAAATCAAGGTTTCTTGCTCCTTGTACACCTGAGATCCATCAACCCCACTGCTGGCCAGGATGTTGGGAGCCTAGAGGGGGGCAGAGCAGGGGCTGCCACATGCCTGATGTTGGGGAGAGGGGCACAGATCTCAGTCAGTGCCCTGGAGCATCTGGCTGGGCTCCTCCAGCCCCCTCAGGTCCCTCTCCCCACTCTCCTGTGGGCAGCGAGCCTAGGCCCATGCGCACTGGTAGAACATGTAGCCCACTGCCCAGCTTCAGCCCCTGCCACAGAGCTGCCTCACCCCACGGCCGCCAGCGGCCTTGCCCAGGTCTCTGACCGCCCACGTGTGCTTGGGGAGGTGCAGATGCGGACTCCCTAGCCCCATCCTGGGGACTCGTCCCACAGCCCCCGGGGCTGCCTGGCCGTAAGCAGCTGGCCTCTGCGAGGGCTCGGCCCATCCCAGTGGTTCTGCTTCTGCTCTCCACCACACTGCGTGTTTCTGGCAGCCACCCCCGGCTCACCATCACCATGGTGACCATGTTCTCACCCAGGCACGTGCAGCAGCTTCCTCCGCCTACCTCTGATCTTGTACCAATGCAGGGCTGAAGCAACTCACACAACAGAGACAGCTGGCCAATGCCCCAGCCCGTCCGTCCTCACCGGCTCAGCCTGGACTGCAGAGGACACTGACCGCACAGGCTGTCCTCAGTCCTCCTTGCTGCATGGTATTCTGGCCTCAGCTACCAGAGCTCACAGTTCCCCCAGTGGCTGCCTCAGGGCTTAGCTAGCAGCCGGCAACTACAGGAATCTCAGAGTATGAGGTCTCACCCAGAGGCTGGGTGACCTCAGCTAGTTACTCAACCTCTCTGTCAGTGTCCTCATTTGTAAACTTGGGGTGATTGTGTTAACTTCCCCGGGGGTGTCATGAGCATTACCCAAGTGGGGAGGGGCATGAACAGTGCAAGGCCCATGGCAAGTCCATCTGAGTGGCAGGTGCTTCCATTACAACTGCTGTGACCAGGCGCACCCTGGGCCTTGGGATACACAAGGCTTTTCTCTCGTTCAGGTCAAAACCAGCAATACTGACCCCACAACGGTCAATAGTAACAGCAACTGTGACAATGTGTCCTGTCCCTTGGCTGGTTTCCTCCAAATCAAGGTTTCTTGCTCCTTGTACACCTGAGATCCGTCAACCCCACTGCTGTCCCTCTGCTGGCCTGGCCTGACCTCAGCCACCCCATCTCCACAGACCCAGGGTCAGGCCCGTAACCCCTGCTGCAGGCCAGCCCTCGTGCGGAGCCTGCTCAGGCTTGAGGCCGCTGTATCAGCAGGCTCACGGCAGTCGCTGCATCAGCAGGCTCGCAGCAGCCACTGCCCTGGGATGAGCGCTGTTGTCCTTGGCAGGGGCCCAGAGCTGCTCTGTAGCAGCGGAGACATGCAACCCTCTTTCTAGGAGCTCCCTCTTCAGTTCTCACAGCTCTGAGTGACCAGAACAGCCCTTGACAGTCAGACAAGCTTCCTGTCCAGCCCCGCTGCAAACCCTCTTGGTCTCTGCTCTGCTGGTGGCAGCCAGTCACAGCTGTGACTGAGTCTGGCTTGTAACGCAGCCACATTCAAACCCGTGTCAGCCTCATCAAGATCTGTAAGACAGCCCGTTATCCCCTTTCGGTGTACCTACCCCCAGCCCTGGCAGTTCTCACTTGGCCGAGCTGAGTGCAAACCCAGCTTCCTTGTCTCTGCTCAGGCGCTCTTGCGCTGGAAGAGATGCTCAGCTCTGGCAGGGCAGGAGAGCTGAGGCTGAGCCAGGACAGTGAGGCAGCACACAGGGAGCAAGGAGACTGGGGGCAGGAGACTGGGGCAGAACCTCTGCCCTGGCTCTCCCAACGCCAAGGTACATGGGAGGACTCCACACTGCTGAGCCCACGGGCATGGACTATGGCACCTAGCAGCTCATTCCCATGCCATGGGGAGCCCAGACCTTTGGTTCCTTTTCCTGGAAAAATCGGCTGGAAGTTTGGGAACTTTCTGTACCTGTTTGCACACCCCAACCCTGCAGCACAGCATCTCCTCTGCTAGATGAGCAGTGTTTGCACTTCTTCCAGGAGACTACAGCACCCAAGATCCTCCTGGCCCTGACCCGGCTGCTAAGGAGTTCCTGCCACCTTGGGCAAGACTGCAGGTCCGGCCTGTGCAATAGCCTAGTAGTTATCCTCGCTTTGCATGCACCAGGATCCCATACGGGTGCTGGTTTGTATCCCACTGGCTCCAGTTCCCTGCTTGTGGCCAGGAAAAGCAGTAGAGGATGGCCCAAAGTCTTGGGACCCTGCACCCACGTGGGAGACCCGGAAGAAGCTCCAGGCTCCTGG